TTTTTTGACTTTAATGAACCAAACTTTAAATATGTGCAAAAGTAATTTATGGACATTCATGTAAGACTATGACGTGCCTGCTTACGAGGCAGTTTGGTACAAAATTTGTATCCAGCACTGCAGCACAAAAGCCCTAGCCAAGCAACCCATGTTTCTACAACACAACAGTTTTGCACAAGCATATAACCTCTCAGTGTAGGAATTGTAGGCTAACAGCGAGACGCAAAAACCTATTTATATATCGTCTCTTTTCATAAGCCGTTTCTTTTGGGTCTTATTACACCTAGGAATTAGTGAGAGATAGTTTTGTTGTAAGACTCCGAAATCTGCACTCAAAACAAAAACGGTGACAATAACTGTCCCAAGTATTCAACTACTCTAACTATATTTGTAGAACAGTCGTTTCTAGTGACAACAGATATTTTCACTATCAGCTATGACATGAATTTGAGTTATATTTGTACAGCTGAATTCGTTTGAACAATAAGGAAGAATAACTGCAATACTTGAACAAACTTACATTTCCCTACATGCACTAGATATAACTACTATTGTAAATGTAGTTGACGACTGAACGATCAATTCACGGTTGTTTGCTCAAACCCAACTTCCCCATAATTTTCCCGGGAGATCAATCCACCAGCCACCGTCTCATCGTTCGCTGTTCAGAAAAAAGTTAAAAAAACTGTCAGAAGTAATATCGTGATTTATTGTTGCAATATGTTTCTTAGAACTCAGTCTATAATTCCAAAATTGCTGGCCATATGTTAGCGTTAGCATAAAGAATTCTTGAGTCGCCAAACTGTGTTTTGGTTTTTGCGTCGGTTAATACTAAGCGTTTCTGAGAATCTTCGAGGGACAGCGTGAGGTCCAGCGTAACGAGAGCTGGGCATCAACGGTTAAAGAGAATCGATTGACATATTCAGACAGTTGGATAGCGTCCGTCTGTAAGCCAAGTCTCGTAAACCGTTAATGCCCAGCTCTTGCTACGCTGGGCCTCACGCTGTCCCTCGAAGATTCTCAGAAACGCTTAGTAATAACGGACGCAAAAAACAAAACACCGATCGGCGATGAGACAATTATTTATAGTAACAAAAACATATAGCCAAATTCAAAAATAAGATTTCTGACAGTTGTCTCTTCACTCCTCCCAGAACAGCGACCGATGAGACGATGACTGTCGTATTGATGCCTCCGCGAAAATTGGGGAAGTTGGGGAATTGATCGTTCAATCTTCAACTACATTGACACTCCTCGGAAAAAAGGGATCCATCCCTTTTTTCCATCAAGACCAATACACGTTGACTTGGATGCCATTGCGAGAAACCGAGTCACGCGGACAGAGCTGAAATGGAAAACAAACAGAAAAGCCAACACACCACAAGCATACCCACAGCACAATCTCACTCGTCGACAACGACCAGTTAAAGGCATCCTCTTAACATCTCGCAACACAATCTCCACTTGCTAGAATGACTCTTGCAGAATGCAACATGACCATAGCAGCACCTCATGATACTCATCACACATCCTCTTATCTATTCACTACCAGTTACCACTGCAATCGCTTGTCACTCATTCTGCCTCACTTCTAGTAACGGTGACGTATGCAAGCCTCAGTCGTCTACACTGTCGCTCCCCGGCGTGTGGGACCACAGCTAATCAATATCTCTGTGTGCATGTTATTCTCGGCTAAAGCCACCCCGGCGTATACGACCCACCTGCTGTCTTTAACATCAGTCAATTCATTTATGGATGTAGAGGACTCGAAACAACTTCAGAAGTAATCACGACGAAAATTTTAACAAAATTACGCAATAACAACAAGGTACGAAAACAACGAGTAAACACAATGAATCCAAAATCACAAATTGAGATGACACACCACACGTATATACAAACAGTACAAATAACCTCGAAGATCATGTCTTAATGTAATTCCTTTGAAGAATCGCAGGACTTGCACCAGTACGCCTACACCCTTCACAGGTTGACGATTGTAGGTTGGAGAATGTCCGGACACAAACAAGATTAACCAACAATCACACTAATTGGAACTCACACAATTATTTAACACAAACATGTACAATCAATACATCAGTTGTCGTGGATTCTTCCTTGGCGAGCTACCCTTGAAGAACTGTAGGACTTACAGCAGTACGCCTACATTCCTTCCCAGGTTGACGATCCAAGTGGAAAGATGTCCGAACACAATACAATTAACCAACAGATAGATGAGAGATGATACCAATTCAGTATATACAATATGAACATACGTACAAAATCACACACCAAGCACATTGGACTGCTCATTGATGCGCTACCCTTTGAAGAATTGTAGAACTTACAGCAGTATGCCTACAACCCTTCTCAGGTTGACGCCCTAGGTTGGAAAATCGTCGCAGAGTTCATTTTCTGACCTTCCTCTATCAGCTAAATTCTCAAATCTGAACGGCAACACGCTCATGTCATTGTATCGTAAAATATAGATAACGAACAAACACACGACGTATCTGGTCAACCAAGCGTAGACACAGAGTAATTTACACCAATGATAATAGCATTCAAATAGTAACTTGAAACTAGAAATGCCTTTATTTATGCGAGTCAATTTAACAATTACTCTCCCGTTTACACTTGGCTTATCCTCACTAAACTGACCATTGATATTCGTCCTTTCAAACGAACTGATACTATCATAGTCATTGCACAAGATACTGGAGTTGATGGGCGTCCTTCTCATTGTGGATGACAACACCAACGACAATTGATTGATACCAGTTGATGAACTTAGCGGTGGATCAGAAGCTGTTGTTGTTCGGCTTTCAGCTAGTTGTCTAACTGCAAGATTACCACCACTGCTGTCTTTCCCTACTAGTTCGGGTGTAGCACTATCTGTCAATGTAGTTGAAGATTGAACGATCAATTCATGGTTGTTTGCTCAAACCCAACTTCCCCAATTTTCGCGGAGGCATCAATTAGCCAGTCATCGTCTCATCGTTCGCTGTTCAGAAGAAAGTTAAAAAAACTGTCAGAAGTAATATCGTGATTTATTGTTGCAATATGTTTCTTAGACCTTAGTCTGTAATGCGAATATTGCTGGTCATATGTTAGCGTTAGCATAAAGAATTCTTGAGTCGCCAAACTGTGTTTTGGTTTTTGCGTCGGTTAATACTAAGCGTTTCTGAGAATCTTCGAGGGACAGCGTGAGGTCCAGCGTAGCGAGAGCTGGGCATAAACGGTTTATGAGGTTTGATTGACATTTGTGTTTACCCTTGACTAACCCCTTTGACTAATCCATCTTCATATAATCCTCCAGAACTTTATGGGTTTCTGTTGGTTACAAGAAGAATTGTGGGAGCTACATTTTATGATATTTTTATTCCTGTAACCTTAGTCACTCTTTGTAAGGTGCAAAGTATTTTGATTTGACACCAGTAACTTGTGTGATGTGTCCAGTCCTCGCATTGGTGCAGACTGAATTATATCAGTTAGGTTGTATTGTTGCAACCAATCTAGGTAGCTCGCAATCATGGCTTACGTTGATTCATTGATATCGGATGGTTGGAAGCGATCGGCCACAGGAAGCCCTGGACCTAGGTTTCGTGCTAGTTGGCACTCATCAGTCAGCAAGGCGTATCTGCAACCTTGAAGGGATTGATTTCCCTTCTGAGATTCGAACCCGCGTCATCCAGTGAGTTGTGCAGTCAGAGGCGTTACCATTGAGCTATTCGGGCTCGCGGTTGACCTCCTCTAGGACTGTAGTGGATATTTTGATTTGACACTACGGTTAAATTGGCATAACTAAAATAAGTTTGACCAATTTATTTCGAATATTCACATTACAAGTGACACGAGTAACTGGTTGTGGTGATTTCAATCAGAGTTTGGTCGCTCGGCTAAGACCCGATTTCCTAAAGCCATCTTATTTTGGTCGGTTGTACAACTGACATTACATGATAATATCACAGCGCAAAAAATAGGATCAGTGGATTTATCTGCTGAATATAGTCAACTCGTTTGACACCAAAGTCTAAGGACCTAACAGCAGTGTCGAAAACGTATCCAAGGTTCCAGACTATTTACCTACTTGTATTTATTGCTTGTAAAATGTTTAATTTTAAGTGCCAGCCAAGTAATCATCAAAAACGAGAACAAGAGGCTATAATTGGTCATATTGATTTTCGAACAGTGCATGTATTTTAGGTTCCGAGAAAGGGAGAGGATAAACGATATCGCGTTTTAAATTTACTGCGCTTCAGGTTTTCTCGCCTTTCATTGGCTAGAACAGTGGCGGTCAGCTGGATTTTTGATTTGTCCTAGGTAGATGCTATCGTGTGCCCTTTTTTTGGTTGTGTTATGAGTGGTTTGTAAGCAAATTTGGCGAATATAAAAGTAACATTTGACTATTCTCGCGTTAGTGTACCTCGTACTATCTAGGAATGGCAATACCCTTAGCCTCTGAAGCTTTCTCAACTTACAGGATACAGCTAAAGAGAAACTGAAAGCGAAATGATCACAGGAGAACCGTGAGAAGGTAAAAGCCAAGAGACATGTTACCAAAGGGTGGCGCACTGTCACATATTAATTTTCACCAGGGTTCATTTGGTCCAGAGAGCAAAATTGGAGGCCAGGAGCACTGTCTAAAATCCGTTGAAAAGCAGTTTAGTGTTATAATGCATAGAGCTGTATCAACTAAATATATATTTTCACCGAAACAGGGTTGTTTTGACTCAAGTTAGATAGCCACACGTAACAGTGAAACCCAAAGGTAGATAAACATATCAAGGTAAAATCTTACATTGTACGTATGCATAAATATTCTCACGAAATACTACCAACTGATTTTCCGTTGGCTATTATTGGCACGTAGGATGCGTCATATATTTATTCACACATTTTTAGTAGTTATAACCTTAACGATGTACCTTTCAGTGGTGAAATCTGAAGTTTAGGGAAAGCAGACGACCAACATTTGTTTATCTGTACTCAGGTTTGGCGAAAATCCGATTCGTTTTGTTTTGGCGGGTCGATTCCCTTGGATGTTAAATGAAGTCTTTAGGTTTTGAGTTGATCTATCCACGCAATTGTAAACCAGTCTCTGGTGATCTGTCCGTGGAGGAGTTAAGGAAGCGCCTCAATGCAAGTGATAAGCTATTTCTCATATTCGTAGGAACTAAATTGTTCTCTAGATAATGTTATCGAAGAAGAAAGACGGTTCTTAGAATCTACTTTGGATGGAGAACAGGCGTCTCTTACTCAGGAACACTCGAAATATAAAGGACTCTTTCTGCTTCTTACATCGCCTGAATTCCTAACGAATGCAGACGTAGATATTCAGCTGAGAGTTGGGGTTTGTATCTGCAAACTCCTCAAAGTATTTTGTCCGCATAATCCCCTGAGTGGTTTGTCAGAAGAAAAATCACTTACAAAAGTAGGGTTTTTTTTCAAGGTTAAATTTCAGGATGTATTAACTTTCCTTATTAACTGCATTGAATTGCTGTCAAACCTGAAGTCTAAGGAAAACGTCAATTATATTAAATTGCATACTATGCTTTATGTATGTTGTCTTGTTTTATTTTTAATGATATTTAGATATGCGTTCAAATTGACACTTTCATGTGGTGTTCCGTTTTGGGAGACGAGACTGTCCTTTTTAATTTCATTAAAATGACGTTTGCAATAATCAAGTATGATTTTTCTAATAATATATTAGTGTCAGGAATTTAGATGTCTGGTCTTGGGCTGACGTTTCTGTTGTTCGCCAAGCGATTTTAGACATGGTCGTCAAAGTTGTAGTCCATTCCGAAAAAATTCTGACTCATGACATAGTCACATTTGTACTGCAGTTTCTAATAGAACCCGCAAAAAGTACTCAACCTGCCCAACATACATTCTCTCGGGATTTGATTATTCGAACAGCTGACCAGATCGAGTATCAAATCCAGATGGTAAGTAGAGTGTGGTGTGTCATAAAATCTCAAGTTATTACAAAATTCTCTCATTGTAGGCAGTTGCAACGGTATCAAAGCAAAAACAAGAAATAAATCCAGTCCTCCAGAAAACAACTTAGAAGATAATTTTACGAAGGATATAAATGAAAGCGGTTCTGGTGAGGAAGACACAAATCCTGATCCACTGGGAGAGCACGCATTCTTAATTATCTATGCCCTACACACAATACAAAGCAGCATAGTTGCACCGGTGCTTCCTACAATCGAGCTGAAGTTGAAGTCCTCCCTTGCGCGTGATAGGAAACGATCATTCAGGCTTCTGGCGCTCTTGTTTTCAGAGTCGGTATGTTTTTACTGGTAGCATACTAAAATTTGAAGAATTCTTTACTCCATAGACGAAACCCAAATCTTTGGGATGCATTTCTGGGACGCTTTAATGATATCGACAGTGAAGTTCGCATGCTCTGCATTCACATGTTGCCACAACTTTTAAGTAAGAACCAGGAGCTACCGCATGACCAGCTGTTATCTTGTTTTCAACAGCGCATTTACGATCCAGACGAAGGTAAGTCTTGTGAAAACGTAACCACTAACTGAATCGATCGAACCAAAGACACTTAATTATAAGTCATGTTTTCAAGTCCATAATTTCATATGACATCACTATCCCTATAGAAACTCCACTCAAACTAGATAGCTAGAAGCAATTTTGCCTAACACTGGAATTCATAAGGATTTATAGTAAATGTAAATACAGTTACCATCCAATGTTCATAAAACTAATTAGTCATTTTCTTACCAGAGTTCATATAAAATATCAAAATATTCTCCTTAAGTCTCATTTTAATGTCTAATAGCCCAAATAAATAATTTCCCCCAAATTTTTCATTTAAGAGGTAGTTTGATTCAGTAAGTTTTCTTGGGTGAATATTTTAGGGAAATCATATTTTGTAAATATCTTCATTTAGGTGTGCCAGTTTGACCAAGAAGCTAAAAACTCTAATCATGCTCTGTATACGTGAATAGCCAATCGAACCATAGTAGTTGGGGTGTGTTAGCTTTTTAAACTCTCACAGATGTAATAGATTAAAAGAACCATCCAACTTTCACTGTTTTCCATGTAATTATTCTTTCTCCCGTACATTGCCTTTCATCAAAGTTCCTCTGGATTTTCATTCTCCTCTACCTTTTTCGCTATGTGGAGTGTAGCAACTTGAACTGGTGCATTTTCGTGCAAAGTCCTACGTTGAGATAAATTACTACTTGAATAACATTCAGAAATTTATACTTGGCACTAGTGAGTTCCTTAAGTTGTCACCTTAGGGAGATTCTCGATTTCATTGAAAGTCTTCCTTCCTTAGGATTCAGTTTAGTGAGTATTTTCCAAATATCCTACAGTATTGATGTTCATGATATAAATGAGACTCACTATACTGTTATGCTGCTGTTAATTAGCAGCTTTCATTGGTCATTATTTAATAGGTAGATTACTGAGTAATGAAACATATGGATAGTGTTCGTTTAATTATTTTCTAGCTAATACTGAGTTATTACTGATGCTGCTGCAGGACTGGACCACGTCAACCCCTAACTTAGTGATAGGGAGGAAAGTGATAGAACATGTTGATCACTTCACCTACTTGGGAAGTTGTATTAGCACCAACGGATTGATTGGCGATGAAATCTCAGCACGGATCCGAAAGGCTCGAGCTGCTTTCGCTGACTTACACCATCTCTGGCGTAGGCGTGACATCCGGTTATCAACCAAGGGACGTGTGTACTGCTCATCAGTTCGCTCCGTCCTTCTCTATGGCTCTGAAACATGGCCAATACGCGTTGAAGACATGAAAAGGTTGACTGCTTTCGATCATAGATGTCTGCGATCTCTGTCTCACGTTAGGTGGTTTAATAAGGTAAGTAATGTTGACGTTAGGCGTAGAGTGTTGGGCAAAGAGGGAAAATCAATCGACGAGGCTATAAAGTTACATAGACTAAGATGGCTAGGTCACGTGCTGCGCATACCTAACCACCGCCTCCCCCGACGGGCTTTGCTAGCTGATATAGGTTCAGGTTGGAAAAGAGCCAGTGGTGGCCAAACAAAAACATGGCCTCCTCAATCCATGAAATCCTTGACAGTTAAACTGAGTCGGCCAGGTAGGGAGAGGCAGACTCCCGGGTTGGGGCCCTCGGGACTCTAGGAATCAATGGCTGGAGACAATAGGTGACATGGCTCAAAATCGTTGTCAATGGCCAGCGCAGATGTATTCAGTCTCTGTAATCTTTCATATTCCTTTCTACCATTACCCATTCTGTTTCACTCTTATACTTGTCAGACTGTATTGATTCTCTTTACTCATCTTCTTGTCTACCTCTGTGGGCTATTTGGAACGTGGCAACTCGAACTGCTGCACTTCGGTGCCAAGTTCTATGTTGAATCCAGACAGATTACAAATAACCTATGATGCTTGTGCTTGGTACAATGGGGTTTCGCAATTGGTCACTAAATTTTTTCCTTATCTTTATCCACGAAATATCATTGTCAAATCATACAAAGAGTTCGATGAAATCAATTTGGTATTGTTGGTTTAAAAAGTGGCAAGCAGTGATAAAAGAAAATTCCACTTAAAATTGAGGATTGTTCACTTTTAGTAGCAAATGCGTGTTTATTTCTCACTTCATTTAGAGTTAATTACATAGTTCTCCTTCTAAAGTGATGCATTTCAGACAAATTTGAAATGTTAGTCTAAATATGTCTTGCTTTATGTAGTCGTATAAATGTCAATAATTACATTAAAAATTTATTGCTCATGATCATACCAAAGTACCTTGGTAAATTGTACTCGAGACGTCATCAGTAAGTACTACTGTATAACACTGTGACTTCATCAAAATAGATTTTATCCATAATGGAGTTATGCTTTACCACAGTACCCAATTTTTGTCCTTATATCTCCTTTTAATCAATTTGCTCATCCTCTGCCATTACGAATTTGCATTCTGGTCTTCTAACTTTTGTACTATTAACATACTTATTATTGGTAATAATGACTAGTCTTTTCTATTAACAATTTAACTGTAAAAGAATCTCTTCATATAGTCTGTCTGTCTGTTTTCGACATAGAACTTTGCACAAATGTGCGGAAGTTCAAGTCGCCACACTCCGTGTAGCACGCGAAGCAAGAGAAGAAAGTACAAGAAAAGCATAATAGAGGCAGTGAGCAGAGGGGTGAGACAAAGGAGTAATAACGAAGAACAAAACAGTTTCATTGGAGATCATAAGTCACAAGGAGTGGATGCATCTGCACCACTGAGAACGATTTTGAGCCATGTCACCAATTGTTTCCAACCATTGATTTTTACCGTCTCGAGGACCCCAGCCTGGAAGTCTACACCTTCCTACGTGGCTTAGACCAACTGTTGTGGATTTCATTGACTGGTGCCAAGTTTTCGTTTGACCGTCGCTAGCTTTTTTCCAGCCTGACCCTATATCCGCTAACATCGCTCGTCGAGGAAGGCAATGACTAGGCTACCATGCGTAACACATGTCCTAACCATCTCAGTCTTTGTAACTTCACGACTTCGTCGATTGATTTCCCCTGTTTACCTAGAACTCGACGCCTAACTTCAATGTTGCTCACCTTATTATGCCACTTTACACGGGAAATAGAGCGCAGGCACCTATGATCAAAGACAGCTAGCCTTTTCATGCCTTCCACTCTCAATGGCCAGGTCTCACAGCCAACCATAAAGGAGGACGGAGCGGACTGATGAGCAGTACACCCGCCCTTTGGTCGATAGTCGAACATCTCGTCTACACCAGAGTCGACGTAAACTGGCAAGTGCGAAACGAGCCCCCTGTATTCGTGCTGAGATTTCGTCAGAGATCAACCCGTTGGCGTTGGCTGATGGTACTTCCCAAATAAGTGAAGCGGTCAACATGCTCTACCACTTCACTTCCTATTTTTAAACTAGGCGTCGATGTAGTTTAGTCCTGTAACATCATCTTACATTTGGCGAGAGCGAATCGCATGCGAAACATTCGTAGATTGCAGCTCAAGATGTTTAGAAGACTCTGCATTTTGTCAGCGTCTTCGCCTAGAAGGACTATATCGTCTGCATATTTTAAGTCAACGAGATTATTCCCTGGTAGCAAGTCAATCCCTGAGTTGCTGAAGTCACTTAGGGTTAAGTCCATTAACACATCTATGATGAAGTTGGATAGAAAAGGGGATAATGGGCATCCTTGACGGACACCACTAGTCGTCACCAGTTCAGATGACAGCTCGCCGTAAGCCCTCACCTGGCTGTATGAGTACGAGTAGAGTGCCTTAATCAGTGCAATATATTTTCTCGGAATTCCCTTTACAGCCAAGCATCTCCAGAGAACTTCTCGATCGACAGAGTCGAATGCTGCCTTTAGGTCAAGAAATATAATGACTGTATATAATGACTACATATAGTAGATGGAGAAAGGATATTTTGCTTTGATTATGTTTGACCAGTATTTATGCCGGGTCCTGGGTTCGATCCCCAGCCGACACACTCCTTCACCTCGCGAAGCCAGAAATAATGCTGGTAAAGAGGAAAGGTTGGGCATGAGGCTAGCGACCCCATCCTGTAAAATTAAACGCTGCTACAAAAACTTCAAGCCACTAGCTTGAAGCCCTATGTTCCACTGGGGAACGTGAAGGAAAAAAAAGTATTTATGCTAAAACAGTCACCGACTTAGGACAGTTTATGTCATTTGCATTGGGAAAGTGTATACTGAATCGACTGAAAGAACTCAAGCCTTTTCTGATAATTCATTTTTTGTACTCGTCTCTTGGCTCATCTGGTTGGTTTATAGTTTAGCATCTTTCCACATAATCATTGTCTCCGCATTCTGAAGTGCAATACTTTATATTGAGGATGGCAACTCGTAAAGTACATGTATTAAAATGAGTGATTTTTCTGATGTTCATCTTTCACTTCTACTCATGTGAACTACTAGCAGTTACTAATCGGATTACAACAAGTGTATTACTTTGCTTTCTGTGTTTCATACGAATAAAATCACAAAAGCCTCCTGGTTCTCACATTATATTCATTTTCGTAATTTTATTAGTGACAGGCTATGTTATGATGTTTAATTGAAATATTAAAGTTTTTAAACATTCCTCAGATTACTTTTAAATATCGTAAGTAATCAATAAAACAGCTGTAGATGAAGTTGCTAACTGACTAGTCATTGTAGAATTCCTCTCTGATATACATCGGTGAGTCACTGCTACATTTAGGGAAAGTGGACAAAACAAGAAAACGCAAGCAGAATTATGCAATGACAGAAACGAACCACATGCAAAAAATATTAAGAATTCACTTTAAGGTATTCAAAAAAGCGAGTCCATCTAGAGGGACTATACCGTCTGTGTACTCTGTCAGTGAAATTCTGTCCTGGTGAAAAGTAAATTTTCCAAAACATTAAAGTCGAGGCCCCGTCTCATCAGCATATCTACAGTTAAACTAATTAAGAGCTGTAATATTGCGTGTTCCTGAAAGACACCAATAGTTATCAGCACTTCAGATAACAATTCCGCCCCCACCCCCTTGTTTTGGATACAGTGCGCTGATAACTGATGTTATTTTTTTTGGTGTCGAATGATAATCACTATTCAATGTCACTAAAATGATCTACTTGTTTCTTTCTGTTCTTACTTTAAAATGTGTTACCACCCGCAAGTAGTATGCGTATACCTATGCATATAATCACCTCCATTCATCTTAATTCTAAAGTGGATTATTATTTTTTTATTTTCTATCGAATAAGGCGTGCGACTGTTGGCACTACAAACTATGACTGCTCTAACCAAGAAATCTCAAAGTGAATTTAGTGATAACTTCTTCGAACTATTGAAGGAGCGTTCGAGGGATAAAACTTTGTCTGTTCGAAAAGAAGCCTGTTTCGCCCTATCATCTCTGTACAAAGATAGTTTAGAGTCAAAATGCTTATCTACTGCTAAGTCATCATCTGCACTAAATACAATTTTACATTTGTACTACCAAAATTCATTGGATGATAAGTAAGTTTCAGAGGAATTCTGAATATATTGTTTAGTGTTTCTTAATCATACGAAAATGACGCCACATTGAAGTGTTGTTTTATTTATGCTCAAACAAACATAATGAATAAGCATCACAAATGGCGAAATTTTTAAATGCCTGTTGAAACTGACTTCTAACCCCCCTTGTTTCTTGTGTCTTTTTGACTATGGGATAGCTAATTATGGTATAGTATCGGATTGCAATGTAAATCCGTGGATGTAGTGTATTTACTTGGGTAGCAGTTTATTCCATTCTTATGTTTTTGTCATCCTAAGGAAGCAAAGTTTTAAGGTTCTGTTATTTGTGGTTGCAATCCGTGTTTTTCGTGAAATTTGAACCATCAACCTCTTAGGTGTAGTGTGGGAAAATTAAATGGTTCCAATCCTTTCATTTTTTTTCTTTACTTTTAAGCTGCCTAAGTAAAGTAGTTAATTTTAATGTGAATACTTTCTAACACTTCGTTTGTGATGGTCGTACGATGATCTTATATACTTCGGAATATTCATTTGTCTACGTAGCTTTGCTTGAGGACTACTTAGTGTATACATATATAGGGTTTTTATTTATTTGGAAACTCAGTTGATTTCTCTAGATACATAATGAATGAAAAATGTGTTATCTGACAAAGATGTGTATAATTTCGTTGGGCTCAATTTATAGCAGGAATAATAGATTATATAGACCCTTCTGTGTTTCTATACATACGATACTCAACAGCCAGTTGCAATGCCATGCAGTTAGCAATGAGCCATACTTATTGCATGGTCTAGTAATACTACCTGGCTTCCCAAATCTTACTAGGTTGTATAGGTGTTAAATCCGTGACCGTCTGGTTGGAAGTCCGAGCACTTAGACTAGTGAGCAACATCTCCATATGTTTCTATACTGTTTACAGAATATTAACTGGTAAAAATTGAAGTTTAATCAGTGATATCGAAACATTCTAAATGTAGAAATGTAGTACTTTTGTTAGAAATGATCTATTATTTTGCTATATATTAGTTCATTGAACTGTAGTAGTAGCCCCTATCATTACTAATACTTTCTTCATCTACTATATATATTTTTCTGTTTTAACAATTATTAAATAGATTTATTGTGGAACGATTACTAAAAAGTTCAATTGTTCCTTACACTTCCAAAAATTCAGCCCGTGTACAAGCCTTGATTCGGTGTTATAGCTTGATGGATGAAGCTTCGATCAAGGCGATGCAGGAAATTTTCAAAGCTCAGTATGCGTAAGTTTACTGATTTATTAGTGCTATGCAGAATAGCTTGACATTTGAGATGCTGCATTAAAACCGTCCTGATTATGCGACTAATTTTCACGAGTAATATCGTTGACTGGTTGCAACGTAGAAATTTGCACAGATGTGCAGTAGTTGGAGTTACCACACCCTTCATGTAGCACACAAAGTAAGAGAAGAGAGTATTGAAAGATCAAAAACAGATAATAAACAAAAGAATGAGTGAGGTAAAAAGAATAGTAATGTGGAAGAACAATAGAGTTTTATTGGGTATTATAAGTCACAAGGAGTGGATGCATCTGCGCTAGCCATTGAAAATGATTTTGAGCCATATCACCAATTGTCTCTAGGTGTCATTGGTTTTACCATCCCGAGGACCTCAACCAGGAAGTCTCCGTCTCCTTACTTGGGTTAAACCAACTCTTGTTGATTTCATTGACTAATGAAGCCATATTTTGGTTTGACCACAGCTGTCTCTTTTCCAACCTGCGACTATGTCAGCTAATATTGCCCCTCGAGGAAGGCGATCGACGGCTAGGTATGCATGCGTAACACATTTCCTAACCATCTCACTTAATCAATGTAACTTGACAACCTCGTCGATTGAATTCCTCTCTTTACCTATCACTCGACGCCTAACCTAAAATTTCCTCCCCTTATTATACCATTTCACACGGGAGATAGAATGCAGGTATGGCGGTTATTTCGCTCGCCGACCATGAACATGGTCTGGGGTTCGATCCCCGGCCGATGCATTCCTTTATCTCGCTGAGTCAGAGATATTGCTGGTAAAGAGGAAAGGTTGGGCATGAGGCTAGCGACCCCATCCTGTAAAATAAACACAGCTACAAAAACTTCAAGCCACTAGCTTGAAACCCTATGTTCCACTGGGGAACGTTAAGGAGAAAAATATTCCTGTTCCCATCCAGTTCTTTGCATGTACTTGATTCTCCCCAATTAAACGCAATATAAAATGAGTATAATACATTTAATTAAGATGAAAATGTTTCTTTGCTTGATTTTTTATCTCTGACTCTTTTTGTTATCATTTTGTTTAAGAGGTAGGTGTCGGTTAAGAAAGAAGAAAAATTTGTTTTTTCTTAATGATTCACACTTATCTCTTTGAAAACTGTTAGTAATCTTTTAGCCTGCTTATTTTACTTCAGTAATCTTAATCTTCTTCGTGATACTGTCAAATTGTTGGAGGAACATATGAGAGGAGAAATGTCTCCTGAAGCTAACACTAAAATAATGTCAATGATACAAATTCTCAATGGTAAGTATATGCAGAAATTTTCTTTTCTTTTTTTTCTGTACAATTTGATATACTCCTGTTCATTCACTTTGTTGTTGTATACGGCAAGTAATAACAAATAAGTAAATAGTGATAATAATAAAAATTAGTAAACTAAATTACAAAGCAAAATAGTTCATAGTACAACGGATTTTGCCAATTCCAAAAAACATAAAAGATATGATTCTGAGCATTTTTTTAACAGTTATCTCTGAGTGAATATTTTGTTTTGTCTCGTTTCCTTGTGAGATGTTATTTCACAAAAGTGTTTACATAAGTGGGAACCTCTTTTTAATCCTTGTGGACCCGAAGCTTCACTACAGGATACAGCGTTGAATGTGTGGTTTGTTATCATTGGGACTGCATTTAATTAGTGTAGTGAAAGTGTAATAACTTTCTTGATCTGAGAAGTCAGCGAATTATAAAGAGGAATGCGACGGCTTCATTACACCTTGATTAGTATTTCTGTTGAGCAGTGATGAAGAAACTTCACTGTAATAGTTATCTAATTTCACTGACAACTAGCTGGCTGGCTGGCTGAGTCTACTAAATCATGTATTCTCGTGGACGACAACATGAAAGAGGTAATTGACTAATGGGTGCCCAGTCACTTTCAAACTTACTCTGATAAATAAGCCTAAACGACCCTAGTCAATATGTTGGGGTGACTACTCCAACTGAATTTGAGTTCTCATGTTGTCCGAAAGGACACTGGCTTCTCGGCTCTTTGAACTAAGATCATGTGTAGTATATGTTCTTTGCAGTGTAATTTCTACAACGGTCTCTAAACTGAGATCAATGAAATTACCTGTATTTTTGCCTTACGGACGGGTGCTGTGAGCTTGCTCAACCCCCTCCACGGGTCGGTCTCGTATTGCATTACCTCGAGGATTGGCACATTATTGTGTGTTGGTGGCACAGTGGTTAGGACTCTCGCCGACCATGCAAATGGTCCCGGGTTCTATCCCCTGCCGACTCACACCTGATATCTATGGTCGGCCTGCAAAATTTGGGCTACCGATATGACATGCTGAAAATTCCTACGGTGTGGAATCAAGCTGTAATAAAAAAACAAAGTGTGGTGAATTATTGAATAGATTAAATTAAGTTACTAGTCAGTATAGGAGAATCTCTCGAGTGGAACCTGAGTGGAAAGCAGCGAATTGGTCGTCAATGCGAGGCTGACATGAATGAGGAGGTCATGCGAAGAGGAGATGAAGGCATGTAGGTGGATGTGGAGCCAGGTGAAAACGTTGGTGCAGAACCGAACGCAATGGAGACGTGCATCTGAAGCCCTATGTTCCTCTAGGAACTAAAGGAAACAATAATAATAATAGGAGAATCTAAGGTGTTGTTTTATTAGGCTGGTATTGATTGTTGATCATCCCCGTTTATCGAAAAAACAGTGATGACAGCATCAACGTGTTTCACATCAAACAAGGACGTTTTGAAAGTATGAAAATGTACGAAAAAGATAAATTAGCTATAGTTGTTTGTACTGTTATATGGCAAAGTAAAGCTAACCTTTTTTATGCAATATTGTTTATTTTAATTTTTATTCTTACAAAAGGTTTAATACCGAAAACAGAAAAATCTGTGGAACATCTGAAACGGTTTTTCAATCAAACCCACACAGATAAAGACCTTCGACGGCTTTTGGTAAGACTGACAAAACCACAATATACTTGTGAACAAGTAGTAGACACATTAGTAAGTCTTATTTTCTTATTGATAACATTTTTGATTGCATGGAGGATTTAATCATGAGTTGACATCAGTTAGAGAACCACTGGAAAACCTGGGAGTACTGGACAGCCGTTTCGTCCTAGTTTAGGACTCCTCAGCAGTACGCACCCACCGGGATTCGAACCCAGGACCTTCTGGTTACAAGGCGAGCTCGTAGACCATTGAGCCACTGGGACCCGATCCCAATCTGATAACCAGTAAGATGTGTCTGAGTAGCTAAATGTTAAGACTTCTTGGTCTGTTGTACGCCTTTAATCCACTCTTTTGCTATCCCAGTTAGACAGTGAAAGAGGAATAAATAGTCCTAGGTGAAGCGAATCAGTAATTAGAAGTTAATTGGTGGATTGTAACTAGCAGTGGAATCCAGGATGCACATTTCATCCTATTTGGGACTCGCTGCACAAGAGGTGGCTCTCGTGACCCATATGGTCTATTGGATAACGCTTTGGCTTTTGAAACTATAGGCACTGGGTTGGAGCCTCTGTGGGAATGTCATCACTCACTGGGGAATGCAGGTGTATTCGTATGACGAGTCTTAAATAGGACGAAATGCGCATCCTGGATTCCACTGGCAGCCACCATCCACCAATTAAATACTGATTAAATGCCCAGACATCGTCGAGGCATCTGCACAAGAAGCCGACATATCAACCTGAGACCGAGCACTTTTCGGTCCAATCAATCGACTTGAAAATCTAAAATTCAATTAAACAAAGCAGTGATTGTTCGTGCTATTTATATGGAAAAGCTTGTGACATTTAAGTGAAACTCTTCAGACAATACGAGTTATGTAGCTTTGTTAGTGTGTAATATAGCGCTGCAACCAACTGATACCATCGATAAGCAGCATCCACTTCATCTTGTCGAGATGGTGGCCACGGCATCTCATTACTTCAGCACATCGATCCAGTAGTCGCCAGTAAGCTGAAACTGATACTTAGACTGGGTTATGATGAGATTTCAATCAATTTCAAGGTAGATTTCATCACTTTCGACTAACAGTCAATAGACTTTATGCTTTCTATAACTTGTATTTCCTACTATATTATTTCCATGGGTTCCTAGTAAAATATAAGGCTTCGACAGAACAGATCTATTTCACCCTGTTCTCATTTTTGGCTGACTCCACGATTGCCTGTAATCTTCCAATTCCTCCTCACACGGTCTCTTTCATGTCACCTTCGGACGCCCAACCCACCGTTCCCCATTTGATCAGCACATGATTTTTTTCCTGAATGCACCTTTTTCTGGGCATAGATTTGTATCCCAAACATCTTTTAGTCCTGTTGGAATAACACGAATTAATATTTTGCTTGGTGTGGACAGGAACGTAATTCCACACCAGTTCTTGCAAAGGCGTAAGTTACCTTTTCTAGTAGCTTGGTAAGTAATTTTCCTTCCTCCCAAACCTTCTGCAATGGTGGTAGTCTGTGGACATCCGCTGAGAGGTCTTCAAGTCCCTTTCCCCCTTAAATATTCATACCTAATTAAACTTCGGCTAGTGTTAACTTTATAAGGTTAACACTGATATTTTGTTAAAGCAAAAGTGTTTGAAATTGCTGTAATCTTTCTTTTCATTTCTTAGAAGGAAATACTGAGGAAAATCGGTAAAACAACAGGTGCTGTAAATACTGCCAGCGATAACCAAACGAATTATTCACGCGTTGTCAAAATGTTGTTGGAACGTTGTGCACCAGTTCTTTTTGATAAAGAATTCGGCAAAGAATTAATGAGTCAGCTCATGGTGGACAATCAGTCTTCTTCTGCATTTGGGACTACTGAATCTATAAGTGTTGCACGCTCACTACGTTTATTGCTTGCAGTCTCTGTTTACTTTAAAGTGAGTTCTTTTATATATGTATACATAAATGCATACGCGACAGACTTCAAGATCGAACATGAACTGACGTCATTTAGAGAATCATTGCAAAATCCAGGAGTTACTGGACATCTGCTTCTTCATAGTTCAACACTTCAGCAGTACCCACCCATGAGGCAACTGGAAATCGAACCCGGGACCTTCATGTTACGAGGCGAACCCACTGATCAGTCAGCCACCAAGACCGGAATCCGATGGTTCGTAAATTCGAACTTCTGAAAATTAACGGAATGCAACGGAAGTGTATTCAGTCCAAATCGATTTCACATTTCGTTCTAAATGCTTATGCATAATTTTATTTGATAAGGTAGATTAATTATTTTATGTGATGTTTAGTTGTAAAGAAGAGTGAATTAAGTAGGAATAAGAAGACAGCAAACCATCCGAATAATGTGACTATTTGTACAAATCCTTTTTGAAGTCTAGAAGGCAGTGGTTTATACTATGTGATATATGTGACTAATTTGTGTTGCGGGTATATAAATTGTAAGTGCGCTGATAATATCCTCTTGATGACTAATTGCAACTAGGTGTTCAAGCACAGATCTTTTTATTGTCTCAATTTTTTTGTCGTTTTTCATGTATTGTGTAGCCTACTGACACAGTAGGTCTTAGATTCGAATTGCGTTGCATTTACTTCACCAATAATAACTGAGTAATGACATTAGTCCTCAAGTAACCTTGTGCTGTGAAATGCATCATTTAAACTTAAATATATGGAAAGGAATATATATATATATATATATATATATATATATATATATATATATATATATATATATATATATATCAAAGAAGACACGGCGCTTGTGCTTGTATGTACCAATGTGATTTTCTCCAAATCATCGTTTAGTAGCTTCTCAGCGAACGACGTCAGCCAAGTGGGATGAGTTTACCAAATTAAAGTGGCAAATTAAAGTAAAAGTGTCATTGAAACCCACAAACTCATTTAGAAACAAGCTTTGTCGGTTGAAGGATCCTGTGAAACCAATTAAACAAAACAATTTAGTTTATCTAATACCCTGCCTGCAATGATTGTCAGTTCAAATACATAGGTCAAACTAGTAGAACAGTGTCAATCAGACTAACCGAGCAGAAAAACCTAGCGAAATCTCGATTATTTGACCCGAGTAAGATAAAAAATCTTGAGAATAGTTCAGCTACAGCACCCACTACATGCAGTTACACATAACCATACAATAGGATGGATGGGATTGGAGGACAGTTTTAAAATCTAATGTCACAGGCTGGAGGGAGAGGTTGATAAGAGAAGCTTTGTTTATCGAATCAACTGTAATTACATGTAACAGGAATGATTCAACACTTGTCCATTCGGATATCTGGAAAATTCTACTACCCCTACGCTGACAAATAGGAGAAGACAAAGAAAACTATAAAACTCGAGTTTCGAAGTTGTGTGATTATAACTGAGAATATGATTATGAACCACAATAAATTTTGTTGGAAACTATGTCATCCAGTAAATAATACTGTTTCATCACTGTGTGATATATCTAATAAACAAACTAATATGGAATTACTTACCACCAGTGCCTAATTTTTACACACATATAAAGTAAACAAAGTGTTGTATCTTGTTATAGCCATCCTTATTCTTATTTTCAGAGTAGGCTTTTTTCAGACACTCATCTTTCCCTTTCGTTTCATTTAAATGAAATGTGTAATTTTGCTATTTTGAATTATTTTTAAATTTCATATTTTTTGGTTTTGTATCGCTCATATTTTCGTGTGAACAATTGCTCTTAATGTTTTGCGTTTGTAACTGCGAACATATGTTAATAATTCATTTATTTTCGTAATTTCTATCACATATTACATATTTGTGCCTTCCTGGACGGGCAGTGTTAATTGAAATAGGATGGATCAGGCTGGAATAGAGCTAGTAGTGGTCTAACCGAAAGATAGCTTCATCAGCCAATGAGATCTACAACAGTTAGTTTCAGTCAGCCACGTAGGGAGGTGTAGACTTCCTGACTGGTTAGGGTCCTTGGAATGCTAAAAACCAATGAAGGCTGGAGGCAATTGGTAATATGGCTCAAAATCCTTCTCAATGGCTAGCGTAGATACATCCACACTATGTGATTTATCATATCCAATAGAACCATATTGTTCTTCCATATTACTTACTATTCTTTTTGCCTCATATTTCTGTTTATTATCTCTGTTTTGGACCTCTCTTCTCTTTCTTTGTGTGCTACATAGAGGGAGAGTAGTAACTTAAACTGCTGGACATTTGTGCGAAGTTCTATGTTGAAACCAGTCAGTTATATTACATACTTTTCTAGTAAAACAGTCAGTGTTTAATTTCGCCTTTCATTATCTATTTACTTCAGGAAATTCTACCGCCAGGAGAAGTAATAAATTATTTACTAAGCATTTTATCTGATAAAAATTATTCAGAAAATGGTGAAGCTGTTGACGAAATCAAGTCAATTTCAGTTAATTCTGATTGTGATCCATACACTCTACAAGAGATGGCGTTAAATGTAAGTAATAAATCATTACTGGTTTGTGTCCTACGAATTTGAATTTTAGTAAAGTTGTTAATGTTATTCATATATATTCTAGAAACTAGTCTCTGTTGAACTTGGCGGTAAAAAAATATTCATCAGAACTTGAAGTTTAAGGTATTCTTCTAGTTGAAAGGTCACAGAGGTTGAATAATATTCAACAGAAAAGTTTGTCTAGACCTCTGTGTGCTGCACAGTTTTTCCAACAGTTTGTAATTATTTCGGCATAGCAAAAATATTCATTCAGACGTCTATAAAACACGAAATAATCGAGCAAAGAATATTCTTTTCGATAAATTCCTCTTCCGGCTCTACAATTATATATATTTTTATATACATAGAATATTCTAGATTAGTAGTCAATAACAATATTAGTGTTGTTTTTTTAAATAATATGGATTTGTAAAGTATGATCAATGGAGTTACAGTTCACTAAAGATCCTTAAATTATGATAATAATGAAGATATAATAGCGAATAGAATATCAACTAAAATAAGAGAAGTTTCTACAAAAATTCAGGATTATTCAAACCTAGATGGCCAAGGTAACTAGCTTCTTCTTTAGGACACATAAATTAGGCTTGTTAATATGGATCTCCACAGCCTCAGCAATATTTAGTAGTCGAACTCTTAAGGCAAATTTCAGATTCGTAGGTATGCGGTAAATGACCCTGAAATCATGGTTAATGTCAATCTTTTGTTCTGTCTCCACAAGATGAGACAGAATAGCGTTGGGAATAGATTTTGTTTGTCCTTTGCTTAACTACGCAAGGTGATGTTCGGAAATTTGGTGAGAAACAGGCCTAATTGTATGGCCTATGTAACTGGTTCACTGCACAGGAGCAGTTAAATTGGTAGATACACATGGAAAAGGCGAAATTAGGCAGTTTGTCTTTTACTCCGGAACGCAGAAGAGGAATGGTTTTAAAGATACAGCGTAATTCAGCAGCAGGGAATGATCTTTTTATCGCATTTCTAAGGCGCTGTATTAGTATCTCGCTGATGTTGTCCCCAAGGAACTGCATCTGTAAGAATAAGGACTTTTTTGGAACTGTTGGTAACTTGGGCTGTTTTGGTTTCCGATTCATACTCGTATCAATAAAGTTTTCAGAATAACCATTTTCACTTAGCAACCGTTTAGCATTATTAAGTTCCTCATCAAGACATTCGTCCGAGCAAATCACTCTTGCTCTGTGAACCAAGCACTTTATCAAATTGTGTTTGTATTTCAAGGGCACAAAGCTGAGAAAATGGGTGTACTGGCCTGTTGATGTAGGTTTTCTATAAACACGTCTTCATATTGTGCCATCCTCTTTTCTGGTGATAAGGACGTCAAAAAATGAAATACTAGAGTCTTTTTCTTTCTTAATAGTAAAATTTATTGCAGGATGTACCTCATTAAATTTATCGAGGATGTTCTTTGCTTCCTTCGGTAATAAATGACTTCTAGTTTACATCACATTCATTACAAAGCAATTGTTAATTAGTGCCATTTTGTGATCAGACCTAGATAGGATATGTGTTATCCATCATTATGGTTTACTACTTCTTTTCTAATGAACCTCTGTATTTTTTTGTTTTCAGATACTCTGCTGTATACTCGGCCGTGGTACAAGTGGTTCATTTTATACCCCTGAATCTAATGACGCCATAAAAAATGTTGCTGTTCAACAGTCATTAATTAACTGTGCTCATTTGAGTAAATGTTCAAAAGAGCTTTTGCCAATCTTACGTCGCTTTTGCTGTACTGGAATAACTCTTAATGCGCTAGAATCTAACCAAAACAAAAATGTCTCAAAAAACTTGACTAAAAGTATGTTTTTTTGCACTTAACACGGTAATTATTTATTTTTACATTACGTCTACATTTCAGTGGGTCCCTTTCTTGTACATTATTTTTGATGGTATGTTATCTATTACTTCTTAGCCTCTTTTTATTCGGAATGCTGACTATTTTGTTGTTGTTTTCTTTTCGAGTCGGATTTCAAGGAACTTAAATTCCCTCTCTTCTTTTTCTTCTCTTCCACCTGTCCAAATTCAATTTCAAAGCTAATCGTGGATATGGTGTGAAAAAGCTTTCACTCGGTCCGACTACAGAAGATATCGCTCAGATGGGTCTTGTTTGGCGTCGTGAACGACGACGTTCCAAGTTGTCAGTACGCGTTCTGTTTTGTCTGCTTGACGTTGTACATCAGCTAATGTGTCCACCTGTTGATCTTGACTCGGAGGATGAAAAATTGATGAAAAAGAAATCTCCTGACAGCAAGATGAAACTGAATTTGTTGAAGTCGACAATTGAAGAAACTCTCAATGAAATAGTTAAAGTAAGTCTTAACTGAATTTTAGATTTTCCTATCGATTGATTGGACTGAAGTGTTTGGTCTGAGGTTGACATGTCGGCTTCTTGTGCAGATGCTTCTAAATCTAAAATTCAGTTGAATAATTAATATGACCCGTTGCATAAGAGGTGGCTCTCGTGGCCCAAGTAGTCTAGTGGATAACGCTTTTGGCGTTGGAAAAAACTACGGGCACTGGGTTCGAGCCTCGTTGGGGACATCACTCACTGGGGAATGCAGGTACATCCAGCTGGTGGACGAGTCTCGAAGAGGACGGAATGCGCGTTATCCTGGGTTCCCCTGCTAGCCACCATCGACCAAATTAAGTCGTAACATTGTTTGTGACATTGAACATAGAGTTTCAATTCCAATTTCCAGTAGTATTTCAAAATTATTACGTAGTACATATTGTGCTAGTGAATATCTCCATAGATTATTTTATACCCCCTGATTAATCTGTATTGTAGTTTGCTGTAACGAAAAGAAGCGAAATCGCTATGCAGTATTTCACCTACTTAGAATATCACACTTGTATTTACAAGCTACTTTTAAGTAAAGATATTAAAGGCTTACTGAGAATTTCCTGTCTTATATCCACCTTGTCTGAATAATGAGATATCCTACTCTTTGAATGACTGACTGACTTGTTTCAACGTAGAACTTTGCACCGATATTCAGCAGTTCGAGTCGCCATACTTCACTCAGCACACAAAACCAGACAAGAAAATAAAAAGAAACGCAAAATAGAGATAATAAACAGAGATATGAGGCAAAAAGAATAGTAATATCGAAGAACAATAGAGTTTTATTGGATATTATAAGTAACAAAGAGTGGACGCATCTGTAACAACAGAAGACAAGGGCCAGGCAACAGATCGTTTTATTATGAAAATCAACACGTATTTATATATATTTCACATACATTATTATAGCTTATTCAAGTGGACAAGCGCAGTCTTCTGATTGGTTGTTTAGCAGAAGTTAAGCAGACAAACGCAGGCTTCTGATTGGTTGCCTGGGGATTCCTCGAAAAATAGAGTTCTCTATCTGCGAATCATATTTTGCCACGTTAAGTCTGCTGTGATTGGTTGCTGAATCAGCCTTGTACATATTTTGTCACGGCCTGCTCTCACCACACATTTGCACCAGCCATTGAGAACGATTTTGAGCTATATCACCAATTGTCTCTATCCGTCATTGGTTTTACCATCCCGAGGACCTCAACCAGAAAGTTTCCATCTCCTCTCTTGGCTTAAATTAACTGTTATGGATTTCATTGACTGATGAAGCCATATTTTGGTTTGACCTTCGCTGTCTCTTTTCCAAAGTGCTACTATGTCAGCTAATATTGCCCCTCAAGGACGGCGATCAGTGGATGGTTATGCACGCGTAACACATTTCTTAACCATCTCACTCAATCAATGTAACTTCCCAACCTCTTGGATTGAATTCCCCTCCTTACCTAGAACTCGTCGCCGAACCTAAATTTCCTCCCCTTATTATACCACTTCACATGGGAGATAGGATACTGGCACCTATGATTGAAGACAACTAGCCATGCTTTTCATGTTTTCCACTTTCATTGGCCATGTCTAACTCACAGGAATAAAGGAAGGCTGAGTGGGCTACTGAGGAGTACACATGCGCTAAGGTCGATAGTCGAACATCACGTCTATGCCAGAGATGGCGTAAGTTGGCATATGGGAAACTAGCCTTCTGTATCCTTGTTGAGATTGTGTCAGCAGTTAACCCGTTGGCACTGACTGATGCAACTTCCTAAGTAAGTGAAGTGGTCAACACGCTCTACCACTTCACAATTTATTTCTAAGCTAGGAGTCACTGTAGTCCAGTCCTGTGGCATCATTCGTAGACTGTTTGGCATGCTACTCTTTACAAAATAATTGTAAGATATATGCTTACTGAGTTAGTTGTATCATAGCAACAACAACGGAAAACAATCAGCATAAATTGGAGGAATCTCAAAGAAACAACCTCCTTTACCTGCCTGGGAAGCATCGTTTAAACTACAGGAGGACGAAACTGATGAGGATATCGAAGCAGCGAGGATTGGGAGAGCAGGGCAAGCTTTCATTTCTCTGAAATCTGTGTGGAGGTCAATAGCACTCAGCATGAAAATGAAAATAAGATCCGGATCCAATGTGAAGTCAGTGCTACTATACGGATCAGAGACTTGGCGCGTCATAATTTTCATTTTTTATTTTTATTATTGTTCCCTTGGGTTCCTAGTGGAACATAGGGCTTAAACTGCACGTCTCCACTTACTTCTGTCTTCTGCTGTACTTTTCACCTGCATCCATGTTAGTCCATACTCTTTCAACTCCTCTTCACACGATCTCCTCCATGTAACCCTTGCACTGATGACCCACTCGCCGCTTTCCTTTCGACCACTCGAGCAATGGCCTGACTTGCGCGCGGTGTCACCCAGCGGCCTCCTCACCGAGTGTCCAATCCATCTCTACTTTCTCCTGCATACATGTTGGCTTGCGATTGGTTTTTGTTTTGTTTGTTCCCAGCCATAGTTTCTTGTTGGTTATTCTTACCGGCCCGGCCATCTGATCTCCAGTGTAGAGCGAAGACAGTTGTTGGTTGATGAAAGTCTGCAACAGGCTGTCGGAAATATTCTTTGTGACTCGCCAAGTTTCTGATCCGTATAGAAGAACTTACTTGACGTTTGACGCGTCATAAAGAGCATCCCAAGCAAACTACAGACTTTCATTAACAGCTGTCTTCATTCAATACTCAAGATCAGATGGCCGGCCAGAAAAGATCAGCAATAGGGATCTCTGGCGATGAGCGAACCAGCCCAGCAGGAACCGATTTTGCAACAAATAGGCAGGAAGAAAGGGAGGTGGATTGGCCATACTCTGAGGAAACCATCAAGTGACATCACTAGACAAGCCATCGCTCGAGTGGAACCCGAAAGGGAAGCGGCGAGTTGGTCGTCATTGTGGGGGTGATTTAGAGGAGGTGATGTGAACAGGATATGAAAGCATGTGGGCAGACTTGGAGCCCTGTTGAAACTTTAGCAGAGAACCGAAGACAATGGAGATGCGTGTCTGAAGCCCTATTTCTTCTAGGAATCAATAATAATTGTATCACAAAATAACATTGTATACTGTTGGTAGCGTTCTCCTTGTGAGATGAAACCAACGATTGAGGATGTGACACGCTAACACATAGCAATAACCAGTTGCTTAAAGAAGCAACATAATTACAAAAAAATGTGTGTCTACTGATGGTGTATTTCAGTATTTTCCTGTATTCCCGGTTTCTTTTGACTGTGACCGCATTACATATAGCGGTTTGAGAATTTGATCAAGGATTACAGAGTGTACACTAATAACCGGTCGTAGGATGTGTTATTATTGTGATCATCTCTTATCCGTTCTGTTCAGCATTGAACACTAAGAGTACAACTTCAGGACGCATATCATCCGTTCAGAATCTGTTGCACTCACAGTGGAATATAACACTGTTAAATTTTACAATTCAGTCAATACAAAGTTAAGGTTCTACGAGTTGAACACGGATTGATATCAGGTAGAGAACCATTGAAAACCAGGGAGTACTGGACAGCTGCTGTTTCACCCTAGTTTGGGAATCATCGGCAGTACGCACTCACTGGTATTCGAACCCAGGACCTTCCGGTTACAAGGCAAGCTCATAAAAAAACGTAACTAACCCTTACAAACCAAACTATAGAAAAAAGTAAGTTAAACTTATTAAAGTGATTATTCTACCCGAAGCTAACAATTGGCTGTTTCAATGTTGGAGTCAGAGACTATACTACTAAGCTGCTCTCATTCAGAATGATACTGTGTAAATTTAGATTGATGTTGTACTAAATTGAATACAGACTTTCAACCAACACAACTGTCAGGTTTGCAATTAGTAGTGTTCTCTAAGCTGGTTGGTTTAGTTGCAGAGCTTTCGTGATCGCCCTTCTGGACAACATCTTCAGCGCACTTTTTAGCACAAAGTGAAATGATTTAAATTTCTTCATGAGTGATATAATTGCGTCTCCCGGTAACCATCTTTACATGTGTATTGACCATTTTCTATTGACTTGGATTTTAAACTTCCTGGTCACATGATTTGCTTTTTATTATTTGGTATATTTCGTCTATAGTAACGTGTTTGTTAATTGCATTTTCGTTTGAGTACCAGGCTTCTAGGAATTCCCTGACTGCACTTTTGGTGTTTCCTGTGTCTAAAATCTCGACATTATCCCAATCAAACTGATATCCATAATTGTCTATATGCATTGATACTAAAGAATATATATCGTGTCTTTTCACGGCTGATTTGTGTTCTTGGATTCTGATTCGAAGGGGGACACCCACTTTTGCCGATGTAGTGCCTGTTACAGTCCATGCAATTTATTTTGTAAATGGTATTAATTTTATCTCCTTTTTCTGTTGGATCTTTCGGTGTGCATAATATCCAACTAAACGATTTGACTGACTTGTGTGCTACATCTATATCAAACGGTTTTAGTATTCTAGCTGTTATTTCAGAGATATTTCTCATGTATGGTGGGATGAATGTTTTTGTGGTGTTTGATGATGGTTCCTTGCTGGTGTTGATGTTGAAACTTTGCGGATAACCATTCTTTTTTAAGACCGTTTGTAGGTATTTTTCTCGCATTCTTTTCAACTCTGGAGTGCTACAATGTGTTTGAATTCTTCTAAACAATGTCTGCACACAGTTTCTTTTATGAGTAATTCGATTATTGCTAGTATAGTTGAGTATTTGATCTGTGTGCGTTGATTTTCTATATATTTGTGTTTCTAAACTTCCTGTGTTGGTTCTGCTGATGAAGACATCTAAAAATGGGATTTTTTAAATCTAATTCTTCTTCTCTTGTGAATTTGATGTCTTCAAATATGCTGTTTATTAATTTATGGGTATAGTCTAAATCATTCCTCTTAATTATTACAAATGTATCATCAGCGTAACGTACCTAGATTTGCTAATTGAAATCAGTAGTCGACTAAGTCAGCAACGTACACACACATGAGTGTTGTAGGGCATTATTTTGTTTCGGTATTAAATATCCAAAATTATTTTTGTTTGAATTCAACAATAAAAAATCCTCTACTTTTGAAAATTAATTTATCTTGCCTGTTTTATTATTCCTTTAGGTTTGTATTTCGTGCCCTGTTCTATCCAGTGAATATATAGCCTGTCTGACTTCATTAAATCATATTGCATTATTATTTCCTGGTACGTATAACGACGAAATTAAGACTTTGATTACAAAATCTTTGGTGCAACAAGTGTTACCATGCGAACCAGGTGATTCACCAAATGGAGAAGAAGATAAAAATCATACTAAATTAACTGCATTGCCAAATCATGCCAAACCAGGTGATAACCTTAGCACTTGGTGTCCTGATGGATTGATAAGCGATTTGACTAAAGCGAAGGTAAGTTTTGGTATTATCGTTTTAAAAGTGCCTACTGTCTGTCTGTCTGTTTTCGACATAGAACTTTGCACATATGTGTGGCAGTTCAAGTCGCCACACTCCATGTAGCACACAAAGCGAGAGAAGAAAGTAGAAGAAATGCATAATAGAAACAGTAAACAAAGGTGTGAAACAAAGGAATAGTAATAATGAAGAACAATATAGTTTCATTTGAAATCATAAGTCACAAGGAGTGGATGCATCTGCACCAGCCATTGAGAACGATTTTGAGCCATGTCACCAATTGTTTCCAACCACTGGTTTTTACCGTCTCGAGGACCCCAACCAGGAAGCCAGTCTACACCTTCCTACGTGACTGGCTTAAACTAACTGTTGTGGATTTCATTGACTGATGAAGCCATGTTTTGGTTTGACCTCCGCTAGTTCTTTTCCAGCCTGACCCTATACCAGCTAACATTGCCCGTCGAGGAATGCGATCGACGGCTAGGTGTGCACGCGTAACACATTTCCTAACCATCTCACTCAAGATAGATAAGGTAAGCTTTATTCCAAATCAGTACTTGTGATACAGAATGGAATTCTCAGCATTTTTACTACCTACAGTATTGCATCCAGTTAGTACATTAACAATAAATATAGTTCTACATAGATTAAGGTTATCTCAGTCAGTTTTGACAACAACATATTAGCAAGTCGGTAGCAAAGCCAAAATTTAAACAGAGTGTTTGAAGGTGTTAGAAAAGTAGATACTACTAGCATATTTACTGGCGTAAGCAATAGCAAAATGGTCGAGGTATACAGAGTGTGAAAGAACGAACAAGAATGTTTTAAGTAGAGTTTGTAAGGAAGAGAGAAACAAAACAGCACATAACAAAAATAAATAGAGAAGGGAAAAAAAAGGTAGTGAGAAAACGTTGTACCTGTAAATGATGTGAGTTGGAAAGACGAGATCCAATTGTTCTACTAACTGTTTAATAAGTTATAGGTATCACGCCTAATGCTTTCTTTATCTCACAGAATACGAGCTAAGTAGGGTATGGATGAGTTTTCGTACTTACTAGTGCGGGCATATAGTTTCCTATATAGGCTTCTGGTTTTTTCTGAAGAGATACATGGGGAGAGTTGTGAATGTAGAGGGTGTTGTGAGTCAGATAAAATGGATTCCGCCCATTTTTCACATGAGTCCATGTGCCTGTTCACCAGAATATTAACAAGCTGGCTAAGTGGCAAACTGCTTACCCTGCTGACAACCTTTAACATCCTGCGTAATAAGGTATAGTCTTTTTTCAATGGCCCAGGAAAGACTTGGGGGGAACAATAGAGAATAATAGGCAGAATACGGGAGTTAACAAATTGTAGGAGTAAGGGTTGGGTTACACCAGAAAGTCTTAACTTCTTGATGTAGAAGGTAAGACGGAATATTTTCTTGGAAATCGTCAAGATATGAGGTGTAACTTCAGTGCAACTTCACAATCTCGCCGATTGATTTCCCCTCCTTGCATATCCCTCGATACCTAACTTAAAATTTGCTCCCCTTATTATACCACTTCACATGGGAGATAGATAGAATGAGTATTGCTATTAATCTCACCAGGTCATTTCACAGAATTTAAATCCGAGTAGGCTCACGACATCCTGCCGATTCAGTGAGAGAACAATCTATGAAAGGAATGATAGGTACATTATTAATAGTAATAATAACACCTTTATTCTGGATGGTATTTATAAAATGTACAGAATTTTCAGAGGAGTATATTGCATGATATTTTCCCTTCGTACAATATCTTCAAGTAAATTATCAAGTGACAGTATTTCCTTTGACTCAATGGTCTCTGAGCTGGAGCACAAACCATTCCATTATGATATATCGGCTTTGTTTCCTTCAAGAAATCTACGATATCTGGCTGGAAGACAATTGTAAGATGTTCAGGAATACATTTTGAGACCCAAGAACATGACTAGAGAACAGTTATCTCTCATGTGGTGGAACACATTGCCACCCACACTCAGGCCATTCTTGAAGTTTAGTAGGAACTTGCGAATCAAGAGCCTGTAAACATTGTTAATACATACAAAGGCTTAAGTTACCTTTTCTAGTAGCTTGGTAAATACTTTTCCTTCCATGACTGTGAGTGAGGTCAACTACATCGGTCAAACTAGTAGGTCGGGAGTAGTCATGTTGTCAGAACATAAGAATTTAGCTAAGGTTAGAATGATTGACCTCACCCTCGAAGATAAATAATTTAGAGAAAAGCTCAACACTACATTGCACTGCACGCATTCACACAATCACATAATATGGTGGAACATATGTAACAACAGAAGACAAGGGCCTGGCAACAGATCGTTTTATTATGAAAATCAACACGTATTTATATATATTTCACATGCATTATTATAGCTTATTCAAGTGGACAAGCGCAGTCTTCTGATTGGTTGTTTAGCAGAAGTTAAGCAGACAAACGCAGGCTTCTGATTGGTTGCCTGGGGATTCCTCGAAAAATAGAGTTCTCTATCTGCGAATCATATTTTGCCACGTTAAATCTGCTGTGATTGGTTGCTGAATCAGCCTTGCTCATATTTTCTCACGGCCACCCCTCACCACACGTAGTCAAAATCCTAAGAAGTAATATACGTAAGTAGGTAGGTAGGTGGAGAGAGAGAGGTTGATTACTGAATCCTTGTTCATCGAGTTTACAACCAACACGTGCAACAGGGATGACTCATCACCCATACCGGAAATATGGAAAATACTCATACCAATCAGATCAAGCGATGAAAAATAGTGGAATTATATAAACCAAGTTAGAAAGTTGTGTGAATACCTTGATATGATTATGAGCGGCAATAAATTGTGCTCGGAACGTGGTCATCAGTAAATACTACTGTATAACACTGTGAGACTTTATCAAAATAAATGTTACCCATAATCGAATTATACTATACCGCCACAGTGCACAAGTTTTATTCTTATAACAAGGTCATATCTTAATCGATTAAAACAAACCGAACGCAAGAAACTATATGCAGTGGGAGAGATGAAAGTTTTTTGTAGCCTAAACTTATAAGCAGGCCGCCAAGATGAAATTGTAGTTATGCTTTAAAGTTAAGTCAAGTGCTCATCTCCCTTTAGCTTGTTTTTTTGTCTTCCCCTCAACATGTAGTCACTTTCTACTCCAGCAACTTATTTTTCCGTGTTAAGAAAAATGAATATTTCGTTTTTGTTATTCTGTTGTTATTCTCTGATGGCTTAACACTTTTGTCTGACTAATAAACAGGCCTTTTTAAATCCTTATTGTTACATTCCTTTGAGTAGAACTATTTTACAATGACTTCTCATCTAGCATTACTATCTACAATGATTTTATTTAACCTTTTCATATTTTATCTTTTAAAAATAGGTATACGTAAAATTAGATTGTATGTAGTTGATTTTAGTGTATGAGTAACACTATGTTAATGATATTCATTTATTTGCAAAGTATTTACTTTTGCTTGGTTGATAACGAGTGTCCACTTCACTCCATTTACTAAAGTTTGTGATATCTGAATAGTGGCATCAACTGTCATTTAAAGTGTATGACCTACTCCTAGGTTTATATGTCGATGATTCAATGGTAGGAATGCTCGTCAGCCAGCCACGAAAGAGGTTCGGATATGAATCCCTGCCGATGTGTACCCCTGTGGTCTGCATAGTTTGCTAGCTGGTATATTATTATTATTCTCTTGGGCTCCCAGTGGAACATCATAGGGCTTCAACAACACATCTTCACTTTCTTCTGTTTTCTGTCGTCCTCTTCAGCTGGGTCCACGATTGACCATAGTCTCTCCTCTCCTCCTCCATATCACCCTCACACTGACAACCTACTTGTCGCTCGCCATTTAGATTCCACTCGAGCGATGGCCTGGATTGCACGCGATGTCACTCGACAGTTTCCTCAATGTGTATGCCCGATCCATCTTCATTTCCTCCTACATATTTGCTGAGCGATCGGCTCTCGCCTGTTGGTTTGTTTTACTGCAGAGTTTCTTGTTGCTAATTCTTTCCGGCTGGCTGCCCATCTGATCTTCAGTATGGAGCCAGCGAAAGCAGCTGATGATAAAAGTCTGCAGCTGGCTGTTGAAAATCCTTTTCGTGACTTACACGCAGTGCAAGTTTCTGACCCGTGTAGAAGGACCAAAAACTAGCTGGTAGTAAGCCTTAATAATAGGGAGGATTGGATGTGAGGTTAGCAAACTCACCCTGTAAAAACATGACCACAACTACTGAAATTTCAAAGCTAGAAGCCTTATTTTCCACTCGAAACGTAGACTGGAAAAGAAATTCTTCGGTTTATCAGAATGTCTGTAGTTGCCAAACACTTTTGAGCCTTTCACTTTCATTTTTGAGTAGAAAGAAAGGTCAGACAAAATATTGTTACATAGTTTAAAGTTTTTTTGCAATCTTCAGCTTTTGTGTTGATTTTTTGGTGAAAAGTGATTTCATATGCTAGAAATGTTAGTCAATAATAGCAGCTATTGTATAATACGTATACGGACATTAATCCTGTATGGCAGCTTAAGTAAAAGCAAAATTAGTAGTACTTATAGGTGTGTTATCAGAATGCAATTTTATATCACACTGTTAAGTGTTCGTCTACTGGTTGATACAATGATGTATCAATAATAATTTGTTTATTTAATTGATCACACAATGGAACAGAGTATATTATTTACTAGTTGACGTTTCGAACACAGTTTACCCCCTCACAATCATTGTTAGTTGTAAGTACACAATTTTGAAACTTGATTTTGCATAATGCGCCACAGTGTTAAAGCCAAATAGATTTTAAACTAAGTAATTCAAAATTAGTAAGTAATAAATAAGTACATAAAATAAATAAATAAGTAATTTCAAACTCATGATAAAATCCTGTAACTAATCAACCAAATCCCTACAAACCAACACTTGAATAATTCAAAATTGACGACTTCTTTTATAATCAGACAGCTGATTTTCCAATTTCATGCTACAATTTATAAATTTATCATTATCTTCCCTAATTTATATTCGGTTAAAAAGTGTCTATATAGCTAATAGAAAGTTGTCGGTTGAGTGAAATTCTCTTCGCACTCTATACACTTTTGTTTCAATTATGGTCAAATTAATCATGCGGAGGATTAAATGCCTTTCTGTCTTCCTATATATAATAATCGAGTGATTGTTAATGATCTACACAGCGTATCGATTATGTTGGATAGTCTTTGAAAGTAGTCTGTCTGTCTGTCTGGTTTCAACGTAGAACTTTGCACCGGTGCGCAGCAGTTCGAGTCGCCACACCCACTCCATGTATCACATAACAGAGATATGCGTCGAAAAGAGTAGTAATATTGAAGAACAATATAGTTTTATTGGGTATTATAAATCACAAGGAATGGATGCATCTGCACTAGCCATTGACAACGATTTTGAGCCATATCACCAATTGTCTCTAGGTGTCATTGGTTTTACCGTCCCGACGACTTCAACTGGGAAGTCTCCATCTCCCTACGTGACTGGTTTAAACTAACTGTTATGGATTTCATTGACTGATGAAGCCATGTTTTGGTTTGAACCACCATTGGCTCTTTTCCAGCCTGACCCCCCATCACTTTGAAAGTAGTAACCTTTCTCAAATTCCTTGTTCTAAAAAATCTTAAGGTAGAGCTGTTTGTTTTGGTCCTAAATTTATTTACATAGTCTTACGTAAATAAACTACATAAAGTTCATCCTTTAAATATCAGCTTTTATAATAGGACTATATTTTTCTATTACCGCTTATTTGCTACAGTGCAGCAATTCATTTTCTTCACTGGCAATATTACATAATAAACTGCATTTCAATTATTACTATTATTATTATTTTTTTTCTTTACTATCGTTATTTGGACCAGATACTGAGTCTTAGTTCTCAATCCAGCTTCACATACTTAAGGTTGGGTTGCTAGCAGCATCAGCCTTCGCACTTAAGTTATGGCTCATCAGTAATTATTGATATAATTGTTGATTGACCTACATAACTTGTTCGTATTTCCTTTTATAAATCTGTTTGCGAATATAAAAATTATCTTCGAGTTGTCATCACTTTTCCTGGCCTACAGTCAAGCACTTAAAGACTTTTTTCAACCAGTTGATCTCGGGTTCAAATCCTCCTCCTCGACCTACTTCAACCCGTGCAATCGTATGATGATATCATCATCAGCTTTCTCACAATAAGTGTAGCTCCATAGCATCTGGTACATTAAAAAAAAACTGTTCGGGTTAACTGAGTTCAAATGCATGAGTTCCCCTCATTTTTCAAAGCTGATGACTATTTGTGACACAACCTATCATAAAACTATTTATTTTGTCTTTAGCGGGTAACCATGTCACAATCTTTCCCATGTTCACTTGTATTGAAAGACTGCTTATTTTCACACCTCTGGATTTTCTTTTTTCTCACCTTTTTCTCTTTGCAGATTTCAGCTATAAAACTTATGACAAACTGGTTAGTTGGATTAAAAAATGAGGTGAAACCTGTTGCTCAAGCTATTATTCGCCTCATCTATCGTATTATTATTCATGATGGAGATTTAACAAAAGGTGGCAAAATTTCGTAAGTTTGTCGTTTTACTTTAGAATTTTTGAAATCCACATTAAAATATCTTATTTTTCTGTGCTCATATCACAAATTGACTAAGTTGGAATTCACAAGTCGATGAATTGCGGCCCAAGTGGCTAAATGACTGACCAGCTTGAATTCGTCATTTGACGAGAGTCGCTGGTTGGATTCATGGTCGGGTCATCCGTACGCACTGACGAAGTGTCCGAAACTGTGACAAAAGAGCTATCCAGTGTTCTTTGGTTTCTAGTAGTTCTCTAAGTGATGTTGTTCCGTGAAGATGATACCTATACTGAAGTTGATCAAAGTTTTGACTATGAGTCTGCTCAAGATGGACCCAATGCGTTTGGAGAAACTAATAGAAAAGCAGCTGAAACTGATGGAAATGCTTGCTGGTCTACACATATCACAACATGCCGATTCATTTACAGACAACGATAGCATTGGTAGCAGTATCTCAGAATTTGTTTATGAACCAGATGCAAATATGATGTTTAATACCTGGTTTTGCAGATACGAGAACCTATTTCGAGTGGACTTTGCAGACAAAGATTATGCCTGGAAAGTACGGCTTGTACTTCGTAAATTGGGTGCAGAGGAACTAGATAAATATTGCAACTTAATTCCCCCACAAAAGCCCAGTGGTCGATCATTCGATGAAACTGTCCAGACCCTTCGTAATCAGTTTAATGACTACAGATCCTTATTCAACATTCGATATCGTTGCATTAAACTATTTCTTATCGAATGTGATGAAATCCATACTTGAAAATTAATCTGATGCTCACTAGCGACTGCCCCTATTCAGGCAGTTAACCTGGGACTCGTTTGGGAAGCCGTGACCAGTAGAGTACAGCAGGTTGAAGATGAGGCAATAATTCATCAAAGAAGACATTGCGAAGTGACCGCGTTGTGTCATGAATTGACAGAAGTTGGAGTTCATGGGCCAATGGATCGGGGCCCCAGTGGCTCAATGGCCTATGAGCTCGCCTTGTAACCAGAAGGTCCTGGGTTTGAACCATCTTTGGTGGGTGCGTACTGTAAGGAGTCCCAAACTAGGACTAAGGAAACAACTGCCCAGTACTCCCAGCTGGTTTTCCAATGGTTCTCTAACTGATGATGTCAGCTCATGGTGAAATCCTCCAACCAATCAAACAAAATCCCTACAAAACCAAAACTGGAAAATCCACACTCACTTGAGCATATTCAATCGCACGTGCAAACGTTCTGAATTGAAATCGCTGACAGATGACCAGTTCAATGTGTTGATTTTCATTTGTGGTTGGCAGTCCGCCGGATTTGCCGACACACATATGCTTATTGAATCGTCTGGAACAAGATCCACGAATGACTTTGAAAGATGTTTATGAAGAATACTAGCGTTCAATCACCATTTATAAAGATACCATCCTTGTCCAGTCTGGTAGCCAAAATACAGCAGAAGTACATGTTATGTATCCAGCACTGTCGAAGTCAAAATCACCTCATGGTCCGCAGCAGACTCCGCCTTCAGCATGCTAGAATTGTGGGGCTTGGCACTGCGTAATATCATGCCCATACAAATATAATAAATGTCGACGATGCTTCACCATTGGTCGCAGAGATGAAGATTGTAAGCAGATTCTCCGACCAAAGTCTAGAAACTAATCCGTCGACAGCCGATGCCGAAATTCATGAAATTTACAGCTGCTTACCACATTAGCATTCCCGCTCCACGTAAATATGTTGAGGTAGAAATCAATTCACAGCTTGCATGTCTGCAAATATACACGGCATCTGACATTACGATAATATGGAAGAGGTTATGGAGAAAATTGGGATGTCCCACATTGGAGAAGACTGACCAAATAGCAGTCAGTGCATATGGTTGAAAATTCCTTTTGACCGGACAGTTACAGTACAACATCGGGTTCCGTGAAGTCCAATTTATCGGTACTGTCTGTCTGTCTGGATTCAACATAGAACTTGGCACCGAAGTACAGAAGTTCGAGTTGCCACGTTCCAAACAGCCCACAGAGGTAGACAAGAAGATGAGTAAAGAGAATCAATACAGTCTGACAAGTATAAGAGTGAAACAGAATGGGTAATGGTAGAGAGGAATATGAAAGATTACAGAGACTAAATACATCTGCGCTGGCCATTGACAACGATTTTGAGCCATGTCACCTATTGTCTCCAACCATTGATTCCTAGAGTCCCGAGGGCCCCAACCCGGGAGTCTGCATCTCCCCTACCTGACTGACTCAGTTTAACTGTCAAGGATTTCATGGATTGATGAGGCCATGTTTTTGTTTGGCCACCACTGGCTCTTTTCCTACCTGAACCTATATCAGCTAACAATGCCCGCCGGGGGAGGCGGTGGTTAGGCATGCGCAGCACGTGACCTAGCCATCTTAGTCTATGTAATTTTATAGCCTCGTCGATTGATTTTCCCTCTTTGCCCAACACTCTACGCCTAACATCAACATTACTTATCTTGTGAAACCACCTAACGTGAGACAGAGATCGCAGACATCTATGATCGAAAGCGGTCAACCTTTTCATGTCTTCAACGCGTATTGGCCATGTTCCAGAGCCATAGAGAAGGACGGAGCGAACTGATGAGCAGTACACACGTCCCTTGGTTGATAACCGGATGTCACGCCTACGCCAGAGATGGTGTAAGTCTCTGTCTGGATTCAACATAGAACTTGGCACCGAAGTGCAGCAGTTCGAGTTGCCACGTTCCAAATAGCACACAGAGGTAGACAAGAAGATGAGTGGAGAGAATTAATAGAGTTTGACAAATATAGGAGTGAAACAGAATGGGTAATGGTAGAAAGGAATATGAAAGATTACAGAGATTGAATACATCTGCGCCATTGACAACGATTTTGAGCCATGTCACCTATTGTCTCCAACCATTGATTCCTAGAGTCCCGAGGGCCCCAACCCGGGAGTCTGCATCTCCCCTACCTGACTGACTCAGTTTAACTGTCAAGGATTTCATGGATTGATGCCATGTTTTTGTTTGGCCACCACTGGCTCTTTTCCAACCTGAACCTATATCAGCTAACAATGCCCGTCGGGGGAGGCGGTGGTTAGGCATGCGCAGCACGTGACCTAGCCATCTTAGTCTATGTAACTTTATAACCTCGTCGATTGATTTTCCCTCTTTGCCCAACACTCTACGCCTAACGTCAACATTACTTATCTTGTGAAACCACCTAACGTGAGAAAGAGATCGCAGACATCTATGATCGAAAGCAGTCAACCTTTTCATGTCTTCAACGCGTATTGGCCATGTTTCAGAGCCATAGAGAAGGACGGAGCGAACTGATGAGCAGTACACACGTCCCTTGGTTGATAACCGGATGTCACGCCTACGCCAGAGATGGTGTAAGTCAGCGAAAGCAGCTCGAGCTTTTCGGATCCGTGCTGAGATTTCATCGCCAATCAGTCCGTTGGTGCTAATACAACTTCCCAAATAGGTGAAGTGGTCAACATGTTCTATCACTTCACTCCCTATCACTAAGTTAGGGGTTGACGTGGTCCAGTCCTGTAGCAGCATGTTACATTTTGTAGGGGCGAATCGCATGCCAAACATACGAAGATTGCTGCTCAAGGTGTTCAGAAGACTCTGCATTTTGTCAGCATCCTCCCCTAACAGGACTATGTCATCTGCATATTCTAAGTCCATTAGATTATTCCCTGGTTTTACCGCCAGCTGTTTCCTACGTCCGTTCAGTCGTAAGCACACACGAGCCCGGACCAGTGCATGATCGGTATCTACACACGTGTTCCAGAAGGAGCGACAATCTCCTACCGACCCACGCCAACGATAGCTTATTGCTATGTGGTCTATTTGTGTCCAGCGTTGGTTTGATGATGGGGGTCGCCAGGTTAAACAGTGTCTCTCCTTGTGTTTAAAGTTAGTGCTTACAAGAAACAAATGATTATCTGAACAGAACTGTAGGAGACGGTCACCGTTGTCGGTTCGCTGGTACGGAACTCCATAGGTGCCACCGACATCCTTCTCAGTCAGCGAAAGCAGCTCGAGCTTTTCGGATCCGTGCTGAGATTTCATCGCCAATCAATCCGTTGGTGCTAATACAACTTCCCAAATAGGTGAAGTGGTCAACATGTTCTATCACTTCACTCCCTATCACTAAGTTAGGGGTTGACGTGGTCCAGTCCTGTAGCAGCATCTTACATTTTGTAGGGGCGAATCGCATGCCAAACATACGGAGATTGCTGCTCAAGGTGTTCAGAAAACTCTGCATTTTTTCAGCATCCTCCCCTAACAGGACCATGTCATCTGCATATTCTAAGTCCATAAGATTATTCCCTGGTAACAAGTCGATTCCTAAGTCATTACGTTCAGTTAAGGATACTTCCATCAGCATATCTATGATGAAGTTAAACAGGAATGGGGAAAGTGGACATCCCTGTCGGGCACCACTGGTTGTTACCAATTCAGATGACAATTCCCCATAAGCCCTTACACGGCTACATGACTTTGAATAGAGTGCCTTGATTAGTGCAATGTACTTTCTTGTCACTCCCTTCACAGTCAGACATTGCCATAGTACCTTTCGATCCACGGAGTCGAAGGCCGCCTTCAAATCAAGAAATATGGCAATTGTTGGACGCCGAAAAGTGTGTCTATGTTCTAGAATCTGTCGAAGAGTGAAGATATGATCTATGCACCCTCTACCTGGTCTAAAGCCTGCTTGATTTTCCCTCGTCTGTTCCTCCCGAGTTCTGCTTAGTCTGTGCATGATTACTGAGCCTAGGATTTTAGAGACCATGTTCGTTAGGCTGATCCCCCTATGATTATCACACGAGGACTTGTTTCCCTTCTTGAATATCGGTATAATAAGTGACTTACCCCAGTCTGATGGAACTGTCTCTGATTCCCACACTTTGCCTAGTACCTCAGTTAATCTACAAACTAGTATGTCACCCCCATATTTAAACACCTCCGGAATAATTCCGTCGGGTCCTGCCGCTTTGCCTCCTTTCAAATTACAGATAGCTTTTTTGACCTCACTTACAGACGGCGGGCCAGTGTCTATATCCGATTCGGGTGTGTGCTGGATGTTGGGGAGGTTCAGTGTGGCTGTAGGCAAGTTAAATTGTCCCTCAAAGTGTTCTTTCCAGCGTTCAAGGCGTCTATCCTGAGAGCTAATTAAGGAGCCATTTTTCTCAGAAATAGTCTCACTTATGATTTGCCTTCTCCCACCCATTTCCCTGATGAGTCTAAAGAGTTGCCTGGTGTTGCCTATCCTCGAAGCTTTCCCCATCTCTTTGGCTTTTGTCGCCCACCACTGTTCACGGTCCTTGCGGAGACTTTTCGTAAGTTTCCTCTTGTGCAGCTTTCGCTCTTCATTGAATTCGGAGCTCGCCGGAATAAGTCTTCTAGCATCTATCAGTTCGGATGAGGCAGTCGAAATCCAGTGGTTTCTACTCACCTTTGGATTTGCTTTATTCACAGCTTTTACAGCTGTATCTATGGCTGCCTGGATATTCTTCCAAGCTTCTTCAGGGTGAGCACAGCTGTCGAACACAGATGCGTGTTTAGCTAGTTCTTCCTGAAATACGGATTTAGTTTCCTGATCGAGCTGGGGACGTGATGGGTTTACCGCCACCTGTTTCCTGCGTCCGTTCAGTCGTAAGCACACACGAGCCCGGACCAGTGCATGATCGGTATCTACACAGATGTTCCAGAAGGAGCGACAATCTCCTACCGACCCACGCCAACGATAGCTTATTGCTATGTGGTCTATTTGTGTCCAGCGTTGGTTTGGTGATGGGGGTCTCCAAGTCAAACAGTGTCTCTCCTTGTGTTTGAAGTTAGTGCTCACATGAAACAAATGATTATCAGAGCAGAACTGTAGGAGACGGTCACCGTTGTCGGTTCGCTGGCACGGAGCTCCATAGGTGCCACCGACATCCTTCTCAGATTGACACAATTTCCCTACTTGAGCATTAAAGTCACCAGCTAGAACGACTATATCTGAGCGTTTAGCCTTTCCCACCAAACTAGACAGCTTTTGGTAGAACTCATCCTTCGTTTCATCTGAACTGCAGTCAGTGGGGGCGTAGGCGGAGATTACGAAAAGGCATCGGCGAGCAGTGTAGTCCTTTCTCCTTCTTACTGACCCGTTCAGGCGGACAGCACACATTCGGCTATCCACCGGGATCCAGTCAAGCAATGTCTTTTCTGCCCTAGTACTCAAAGCTATCCCTACGCCAGCTAATCCTCGTGAACTGGCTGTGGCATCTCCTGACACCCTCAAGGTGAATTTTGCAGATTCAACCTGTTGGCCAGGTGGGGTTAGGTGAATAACCACACTTGGGTCTTCTATGCGTGTTTCTGAAACACAGCATACATCAATGGATCGTGATGCCAGGGTCTTGGCTAGTGATGCTTGTTGTCCTATTTGGCAAAGTGTCCTAACATTAAGAGCTCCTATATGAAATTGGTGGCGTGGCTTTAGGAGACTATCGGTGGTTTTTTGGCTTCCGTCGTTTTTAGTGGACATAGAGTGAAGAGGGAGTGTGGAGCCATCGAGTAGAGGAGCTATATCAGTGGGAGGAAGACAAGGCAATGGAGATGAAAATGAAGACAAAGATAAGTGAGGATTAGAGAGGTTTTGTGTGCATTTCGGATTGTAACGGCGTTTGTTACTTCCCGGCTGCCCACTCCGTGGAAGTTGGTTGCGTGACTGCAGAGCCCAGGGGACAACTGCTTGAGGCCGGTCACACGCGACCTGTTTTTGTCTGTTCTTTTTTGTTTGGTGTGTCTCAGTAGCATACTCATCACTCCTGCCCTGTGACACGGCAGCAGGAAGCGCGGTCGTTGTTAATCCGGGCCACAGCCGATCCGGCATGAAATTTTGTGAATTTGTTTGAATCATGGTATTGGATGGGGTAGCTGCTTTTTGTTTAACCGCTATCCAAACAACCTTTCTGGCATGGTAGTACCTCAAGAGACATAAGTCTCAGCCAGTATAGCTTGTTTAGGTCATTGCGGTGTTCAAGCCCGACCACCACGTCAAGGTAGCAGCTTTCGGTCGGGGTAAACATTATCGGTACATGCTTCGTAAATGATGCAAACCTGGATTTACTGGTTTGAAAGCCTGCGGCTCTTGGAATTCCCCTTCAACAGTTTATGCGACAGATTCTTCGAGTTCCTCTCAAGAATTCAAGACGCCGTTCCAACCAGAGTTGGGATGTTGCAAAACCATGGAAGTGATCCTACAACCCAACGTCACACCAGTTTTTCGATCAAAAGCCCCGTCCTGTACGCCTCACAACAACTACTAGAAGCTGAGCTGGGAAGATTAGAAGAAGCCGGCGTCACAACTCCTGCACCCCAAACAACTGCTAAAAGGACACCAGAGCCTCAAAAACTAGCATCTTCAAAGACGTCTTCGGAAGTAAACACCACCACTAAAACTACCTAGTGCAAAGACACCTGAAACAACACCAAAAATCCCTGCTCCTACTGAATCCACATCCACAGCTAAAATTCTATCATCTCCAAGATTATACCTGTGAAATCCTATTGGTTGTTCACTGTTTAATTTACCAATAACAGTGCCTCTTATAGTCATTTTAAACATACATATACGCAAGTGCTGTCATTCTTTTCGGACTATTGTTTGAGACATTGAAAGCTCTCCTAGCAGCAGTCAGTCTTTTTTTTCTTCTGTCTTTGTAGCCTGGCAATGTTATTGTTGTTACTGACGTACGCCTAGGACAGATTAGCCAGCGCATTAAGTTAGTATTCGCTCATAGTCTACTAGGTTGCAGTCTGGCAACTCGAACTGCTGCACATCAGTGCAAAGTTCTATGCTGAAACCAGTCAGTCAGGTCGCAGTTCCGGTCATAACAAAAAGTTAGCACAGTTTGGACATTGATTGATCTGTTTCTGGATCAAGGCCACTTATCAAGTTGCATATGTAAAATGTGTGTATGTACAAGACACTTGGCCTATAGACTGGGATCAACAAACGGCTTATATGATAAATTTTTAGAGGTTAACAAACGTGCTCGTCAAATTTTTCCAGTAATGTGCTAGAAATTGTCTTAAAATAACTAAATAATAAACTTTTATCTAAGGATATCTCATTTTTGATATAAGCAAGAAAAAAAAACTTGGGCATTGTGGTAGAGTATAACTCCATTATAGATAAGATATCTCATTTTTTATACTCCTCGGAAGTAGTAACCCTCAGCTTTTGGTTGAGTTGTTGCTTTCTTATATTGTTTTCATTGTCCATCAATTAGTGTATTAGGGGTGTAAAGCCCAAAACATTTTGCATAATTTTCTCCTGTTTTACCTCATTTATTTTACTTGATAGCCCTCATTTTTATACTCTCAACTTTTAGATATGGGGAAATGTCACGTATGCGTTTAGTAGCCGCCACTTCTTGGTTGAAACTTGCACGTTGTCAGGCTTATGTGGAGTGCATCGAAATTGGATGGTATTTGTCTATGACTTATATACTCTGTGTAAGTTAACTGCGTTATGAGAGAACTTTATTAAATATATATATATATATATATATATATATTTTATATATATAAAATCTGTATGAAAAAACAGTGTTATTAACAAACAATATTAGAGGTAATAAAATGTGGATGATGGGAGTAATAATGATAATAAAGCACTGTGAAGCATTCATGTTTGGGCGCTCGATGTCCAGAGTTGACAAGGTGTTCGAGGATAGAGCTGCTACTATTCTTCTTTTCTTCTCTGGCTGGTTAGCCAAGCTGGACAGCGTTCCAGAATACGTTTGTGGACTTGCCTTTGCGTACCGCCGATGTACTTTGGTCCACACAATCACGTAAATTGATAAATACACAATGAAGTGGCCAAAAGCGGTATCTTATCCTTAGCGTTAGACTGGATTAACTGCCTGCTGGGGAATGTGATACGTAGAGTGGCTGTTGGAAATGCCTTCTTCAAACATTTAGAAAGGCGGTTTCTGAGAATTTCCGCTGCGATATCACCTTTGAATTCTACGTTCATGAAGGGAGTCTTCTTAGGAACCGTTGCGATATCTGACACCGGGGTCCCGACCGAAAGCTGCTACCTTGACGTGGTGGTCGGGCTTGAACACCGCAATGACCTAATCAAGCTATACTGGCTGAGACTTATGTCTCTTGAGGTTCTACCATGCCAGGCAGGTTGTTTGGATAGCGGTTAAACAAAAAGCAGCTACCCAATCCAATATCATGATTCAAACAAATTTACAAAATTTCATGCCGGATCGGCCGTGGCCCGGATTAACAACGACCGCGCTTCCTGCTGCCGTGTCACAGGGCAGGAGTGATAAATATGCTACTGAGACACACCAAACAAAAAAGAACAAACAAAAACAGGCCGCGTGTGACCGGCCTCAAGCAGTTGTCCCCTGGGCTCTGCGGTCACGCAACCAACTTCCACGGTGTGGGCAGCCGGGAAGTAACAATCGCCCTCACAATCCGAAATGCACACGAAACCTCTCTATTACTCACTCATCTTTGTCTTCATCTTCATCTCTATCATCTTGCCTTCCTTCCACTGATGCAACTCCTCGACTTGATAGCTCTCCACTTCCTCTCCACTCTGCGTCCACTAAAAACGATGGAAGCCAAAAAACCACCGACAGCCTCTTAAAGCCGCGCCACCAATTTCATATAGGAGCTCTTAATGTTAGGACACTTTGCCAAATAGGACAACAAGCATCACTAGCCAAGACCCTGGCATCACGAGCCATTGATGTATGCTGTGTTTCAGAAACACGCATACAAGACCCAAGTGTGGTTATTCACCTAACCCCACCTGGCCAACAGGTTGAATCTGCAAAATTCACCTTGAGGGTGTCAGGAGATGCCACAGCTAGTTCACGAGGATTAGCTGGCGTAGGGATAGCTTTGAGTACTAGGGCAGAAAAGACATTGCTTGACTGGATCCCGGTAGATAGCCGAATGTGTGCTGTCCGCCTGAACGGATCAGTAAGAAGGAGAAGGACTGCACTACTCGCCGATGCCTTTTCGTAATCTCCGCCTACGCCCCCACTGACTGCAGTTCAGATGAAACGAAGGATGAGTTCTACCAAAAGCTGTCTAGTTTGGTGCGAAAGGCTAAACGCTCAGACATAGTCGTTCTAGCTGGTGACTTTAACGCTCAAGTAGGGAAATTGTGTCAATCTGAGAAGGATGTCGGTGGCACCTATGGAGTTCCGTGCCAGCGAACCGACAACGGTGACCGTCTCCTACAGTTCTGCTCTGATAATCATTTGTTTCTTGTAAGCACTAACTTCAAACACAAGGAGAGACACTGTTTGACTTGGAGACCCCCTTCATCAAACCAACGCTGGACACAAATAGACCACATAGCAATAAGCTATCGTTGGCGTGGGTCGGTAGGAGATTGTCGCTCCTTCTGGAACACGTGCGTAGATACCGACCATGCACTGGTCCGCGCTCGGGTGTGCTTACGACTGCACGGACGGTAAAACCATCACGTCCCCAGCTCGATCAGGAAACTAAATCCGTATTTCAGGAAGAACTAGCTAAACACATATCTGTGTTCGACAGCTGTGCTCACCCTGAAGAAGCTTGGAAAAATATCCAGGCAGCCATAGATACAGCTGTAAAAGCTGTGAATAAGGTAAACCCAAAGGTGAGTAAAAACCACTGGATCTCCACCGCCTCATCCGAACTGATAGATGCTAGAAGACTTATTCCGGCGAGCTCCGAATTCAATGAGGAGCGAAAGCTGCACAAGAGGAAACTTACGAAAAGTCTCCGCAAGGACCGTGAACAGTGGTGGGCGACAAAAGCCAAAGAGATGGAGAAAGCTTCGAGGATAGGCAACACCAGGCAACTCTTTGGACTCATCAGGGAAACGGGTGGGAGAAGACAAATCATCAGTGAGACAATCTCGGAAAAAAATGGCACTATAATTAGCTCCAGGATAGACGACTGGATCGTTGGAAAGAGCATTATGAGGAGCAGTTTAATTTGCCCACAGCCACGCTCAACCTTCCGAGCATCCAACACCTCCCTGAATGGGATATAAACACAGGTCCTCCGTCACTAACTGAGGTTACTAAAGCTGTCACCAATCTGAAACTAGGCAAAGCAGCGGGACCTGATGGAATGACTCCAGAGGTATTTAAGTACGGTGGAGACAGCTTACTGTCCGGATTAACTGAGGTACTAGGCAGCGTCTGGGAATCAGAAGAAGTCCCATCGGGTTGGTGTAAGTCACTGATTATCCCCATATACAAGAAGGGAGACAAGTCTTCCTGTGATAATCACAGAGGGATTAGCTTGACTAATATAGTATCTAAAGTCTTAGGCTCAATAATCATGCGTAGACTGAGTGGTGCTCGGGAAGCACAAACACGAGAGAGCCAGGCAGGCTTTAGACCAGGAAGAGGGTGTATTGATCATATCTTCACCCTCCGACAGATTCTAGAACATAGGCATTCCTACCGGCGTCCAACAGTCATTATATTTCTTGACCTAAAGGCAGCATTCGACTCTGTCGATCGGGAAGTTCTCTGGAGATGCTTGGCTGTAAAGGGAATTCCAAGAAAATATATTGCACTGATTAAGGCACTCTACTCGTACTCATACAGCCAGGTGAGGGCTTACGGCGAGCTGTCATCTGAACTGATGACGACCAGTGGTGTCCGTCAAGGATGCCCATTATCTCCTTTTCTATTCAACTTCATCATAGATGTGTTAATGGACTTAACCCTAGGTGACTTCAGCGACTCAGGGATTGACTTGCTACCGGGAATAATCTCGTTGACTTGGAATATGCAGACGATATAGTCCTTCTAGGCGAAGACGCTGACGAAATGCAGAGTCTTCTAAACACCTTGAGCCGCAATCTACGAATGTTTGGCATGCGATTCGCTCCCGCCAAATGCAAGATGATGTTACAGGACTGGACTACATCGACGCCTAGTTTAAAAATAGGAAGTGAAGTGGTAGAGCACGTTGACCGCTTCACTTATTTGGGAAGTACCATCAGCCCCAACGGGCTGATCTCTGACGAAATCTCAGCACGAATACAAGGGGCTCGTTTCGCATTTGTTAGTTTACGCCGACTCTGGCGTAGACGAGATGTTCGACTATCGACCAAAGGGCGGGTGTACTGCTCATCAGTCCGCTCCGTCCTCCTTTATGGTTGTGAGACCTGGCCACTGAGAGTGGAAGACATGAAAAGACTAGCTGTCTTTGATCATAGGTGCCTGCGTTCTATTTCCCGTGTAAAGTGGCATAATAAGGTGAGCAACATTGAGGTTAGGCGTAGAGTTCTAGGTAAACAGGGGAAATCAATCGACGAAGTCGTGAAGCTACAAAGACTGAGATGGTTAGGACATGTGTTACGTATGCCAAGCCATCGCCTCCCTCGACGAGCAATGTTAGCGGATATAGGGTCAGGCTGGAAAAAAGCTAGCGGCGGTCAAACAAAAACTTGGCATCAGTCAATGAAATCCACAACAGTTGGTCTAAGCCACGTAGGAAGGTGTAGACTTCCAGGCTGGGGTCCTCGGGACGGTAAAAATCTATGGTTGGAAACAATTGGTGACATGGCTCAAAATCGTTCTCAGTGGCGCAGATGCATCCACTCCCTGTGACTTATGATCTTCAATGAAACTGTTTTGTATTTCTTTATTACTCCTTTGTCTCACACCTCTGCTCACTGTTTCTATTATGCTTTTCTTGTACTTTCTTCTCTTGCTTCGCGTGCTACACGGAATGTGGCGACTTGAACTTCCGCACATTTGTGCAAAGTTCTATGTCGAAAACAGACAGACAGACACCGGGGTCTTCTCCTTCGACAAAAACACACTTATTACGTCATCCCAACTTCTGTCTCTTTTCTAACTTACATTTAGTCATCCCTTCTTACACCTTACATTATATAATAAAACTTTTCTAGGACAAAGTTTCCCAGTATCCGATTGGTCTAAAGATTTCTTTGTTTAATATAATTACGACTGTACAGCAGTTACTGAAAATGAATCGTCGAAAAGAAAATTTTCTTCGCTGTTTGTGCCTTTTTCTTATGACTCAATATGGGAATATGTCGTATATATGTTAAACTTCCTTGCATTTTTCTATCTTTATCCTTTCCTTATGACAATTTCATATCAAAACTGAGTAGTTTCTTTCAAATTTTTATTTTCATTTAAGGATCCATGTCCACAGATTCGTTCTCATTTTCTGACAAAACTTAATCAAGGTTTGTATAAATTGCGACTTCCACTTGAGTATATGGCTATTTTTGCACACGCTTCCAATGTCCCTGAACCTGCATTTAAACAACGTGCAAAACAATTATTTATTGCCAATGTTCAAAGACGTCGTGCTTTCTTGAATAAAAATCCTTCATATTTTCGTGATGCTAGTAAGTCTCTTCTTTTAACTTATTCGTTCTACCTCATGGAAAATTATTTTCTACTTCTCTTTATTTTTGATTGCAGCTTGATTCCACACCGTATTTCGGTACAAGTATGGAATTCTCAGTATGCCATATCGGTAGCCCAAATTTTGCAGGCCGGCCATTGATATCAGGTGTGCTTCGGTAGGGGATCGAACCCTGGACCGTGTGCATGGTCTGCAAGAGTCCTAACCACTGTGCCACCGACTCACAAACCTCTTGCGACCGCCGGGTATTTTCATCTCTTTCGATTGTCAAAATGTTTCCCTTAAATGTAGTTGTGAGATTATGACTTTGTTAAGCTTGTGTTCTTGCATCACTGGAAGTTGATCAACGCAGCTAATTGAACAACACACACAATTCCACATTGACATAGCATATATATGGTTGGGGGTGGGGTGGGGGCGTGTTCAGTTGAATGCTGTTCATGCTGCTTTATCATAAATAAAAGCTTTCTTTTCAAACATAAATTGTTTTCCTCGATCCCTGTTTATCATTCCAGATAATTTTCAGATAGTTAATAAAAATATTTTGATTTTCCGAAATCAAGAATATTTTCACCACTTCAATCCTTATCAGCACAATTACCTTCATTCCTTTTGTCAAATACAAATCGGTCTATGACACGGGATATCTAAAACGTTGGAGGCCTGTTGCTTTTGTGAACGACAGAAACGTCGTAACATACAGAACTTCTTATATCCTTGTGTGTTGATTGGTTAGCTGTCTTCATTCAACACATATTTTAACATTCCTCTGCATGCTGAGTGGAACCTAGGGGTTCCAAGCTTGAGCTTTAGAGTCTCATTGCTCTGGTGATGTTTCTAACAGGGTGGGGTTACTAACCTCACGTCCAACCTTACCGGTTTGACGGGTTTACTTCTGGCTAAGAGAGAGAGGTTTAATTGTGTGTCGTCCGGGGAATTAACCTGGTCCACGTGCGTGGTTGATGGATATTCTGCTGTTGAATCACGGACCCATATGTATTGTGCGTCGGTGGCAGAGCGGTTAGGACGCTCACCGAACATGCACATAGTCCGGGGTTCGGTCCCCAGCTGGCACACACCCGATATATACTGTGGAGAATCAAACTATAAGCAAAGCACGCTGCCTCTCTGTTCACGGTCTTAAGCTAAATCCGTCTAAATATCAGGTAGTCAATTTCACTTTCAGACGTAAACGTGACGTACAACAACTTGTTAGCTCACATGGCCCCACTATCATTGACGGCATTGAGGTTGAAAATACATCTAATGTCAAGTACCTTGGGCTGAGTTTTTCCACCGATCTTTCCTGGTCCTCCCACATCTTGCTAGTTACTAGAAAGATGTTTCGCTTAACGTTCTGCATTAGGAAATTTAGGCAGTCTGGTATAAAGCAGTCTTTGCTTTCTCAGTTTGTCAATTCTTGCATTCTACCCATCCCCCTTTACTGCTCCCCATTAATCTTTCCTGGACTACTTAAGAAAGACTTTGCTTTGCTGAGAAGGGCACTAAGAGCTGTTAGTAAGGCAAGTGGGATATCGTTAAACCAACTGGTTAACACTATTGTGGATAGACATATAATGTCATGTAAGGAACTAGCGAATACGATATTGTCAGACCCCGAGCATCCTCTCTATACGCAGCTCTCTTCTTGTATTTCATCTGGTAGAACTAGAAGCGGCCGTAGGAGGCTATATGCTAGGACTACCAAGTACAAATACTCCACAATACTATATCTGGCACAGCTGTTATGTGATGAGAAATCCGTTAGGTATGACACGATCAACTTACTGCGGCACTCTCACAAATAGTCCTATTAGTTTTTGTTTTCCTTTCCTCGTTACTATTACACTGTTGTTCTCATCTTCTACTACACACCAATTTTATATTTCATATCCTGCGGTGCATTGTTTAAAATGTAAACGCAATACTGTTCTTTTTATTCTTTCTTTATTTATCTTTTTTGGTTGTTGCTTTTTGATTTTAAAATCTTATAAAATTTATGAGGTAATTAGATGCAATATATTGTAAGGCACGCTGAAAATTCCATACCTGTACCGCAAATACTGTTTGGAATAAAGCTGTTATTATTATTATTGAATAAAAGTTTACTTATCTTACACATAGTTATAATTGTCGAATACCAAAAATGGCTTTGCATTTTATTCAGGTACCTCTGCTGAAACTAATCAACATATCAGTATTTATCCTGAACTAATTCTTATGTTAAATCTTTCACCTAATACCTGTTTTCCGAGTTTCCAAGGATTATTTGATCGGTTTCCATACTTTCACTGAGTGCTCTAGAATAAATATTCCGAATGCTGAGTTTAGCTGTGTATTTTTTAAACTCTACACATGAGTTTCTAATTAGGAACAACATTCGAGTAGCACTGGTAGGTGTTCTCGTGTAGCAGAGTATTTAACTTTATTCTGTGATGAGACTTGTCTGCTAACCGAAATTGGTAGACAGCAACTTACGTCAATGTTTACGTCCCGAATCTTGATCATGAGAAAAAAAGACCAACCTTGAGGGAGTCAACAACCAATCACAGCAGAGTTAGCGTGGGCGTATACGATTAGCAGACATATCAACGAACTGTCTAAGAAACAGTAACAAAAAGATGACACAATAACCTTCAGCAGAAAAACAACCAACCAGAAGCCGTTGCTTCTCTGCTAACAATAACGCTAGTAAAAATGCACATGAAAATCTATAAATATTTGTTGATTTTCTCGATAAACGATCTGTTACCTGGCCCTTATATTCTGTCGTTACAATTTGAGTTAGCTGACAAAAGAATATCTATCAGCCTCCTAAATTTATCAGCGATAAATAATACCTTAAGCGTTGATCGTGAATAAGACATTTGTAAGGGCAGTCTACATGATCTGTAATCATGTCTTTGGTTGTATTGCCCCCCCCCGCCAACAACATTTCCTTCATTTTTGTTCATAGTTCCGTTAAAATTAGTAATTATCTAATTTCATTTAATTTATTCTACTAATGAATCATATACGGAATCCTGTTTTTATCATTTGTAGAATATTTATTTGGATTATTACCGGACTATATACTTCCATATTTGATATATTTACTTTCTCATGATTCCAAATGGACTAAAATAGACGATGTAGAAATATTGAATAAAATTAAAAGGTACGTTTATAGTTTGATATTTTGATAAAGTTAAACTGTAAGCACCAGTAAGTACACCAACGGACAAGTGACCTTAAATCCACCGACCACATGGTAAAAGCGATTTGTGTGTATGATATACATATATTCATGAAAATATTGGATTTAAAGGCATGAAACTGTCACACAGACAGGATACCTCTCTCTGATGTGTGACAGAAATACCCCTAATCCTAACGTGAAAATATCGCCCTCGTTAATTTAGCCTAAACCTTAATGTAATCTTTTCCCAAACTCAACCTGATATGTATCCATATGTGCGTTTTGTTTTATATTTTGCTATGTGTATATGGATCGATATTTCATTATAGCTGACTATATACTTTTGTCTGTCCACTAACTAAATAAACATGTATGACCTTGTTGTCACATGACATTACAACCAATCATGTTAAGACTGGCTATTTATTGGTTCATGTGTATTAGCCATTTTCATATATACCTTTGTACTGTATTCTTGTGCACACACACACACACGCTTTTTCGTACACTAGTACCATTTTCACTCACACTCTTGTGTGAAATTTATTTTCCTTGTCTGGAAAATACAAGTATCATCGTAAACCTGGTGGTCTTCTGATTTCCCTCTTCCCGCGTCAGGACTATTAACTACTCGACGAGTACATAACATAATTGGCGACGGGGAAAACTCTGATAACTCACTCAGCAGCAGTACATAACACAACCTGAAACTCGCCAGATATCCCATTTAATAACACATCACAAAGCATATTTTGTTCATGATTGCGGTATTATTTACCAGGTAATCCTGATTCGCCTACTGAGAGTTTCAAGGCCATTGGTGCGGTCGCACTCCACTGGTATTTACTGGTGTTTAAAGTTTAACTTGGCCGATATTTTGTCTCTTTTTCGTAAGTATAATTAGCTTAAGTGATAGGCAACACTTTTGGAAAAGATTTAAGTGCTAATATAGTATAACTTTTATATAACACTAAGACATTTCATTATGTACAAATGTGAAATGCTATTCAATAGCCGCCTTCATGGCGTCTGTTGTTGTATGGATTGATGATATTATCAGGCTTTTAAACCTTGATGGACGAAACCCTGATCTGATCCATTCAGACACAGCTTTACTTGAATACATACCAACACAAACCTGTTTTTATCTAGCAGAACATCAGTGACGTTAGTTTTTTGTAGGCTTTTCTGTAGAAATTCAGTTACTCATTTTCACAAGTCATCAGGGTGTATGCGTATTGGTTGTGCTTAGCATTGACAATGTCTAACATTTTGCCAAATCTTGCATGTAAAATATACTAATTTGTAAATGATCCTTCACTGACATATCCAGTGTGTTCGTCAACGAATAAATTATTTGTTTTCTAATCCGGCGTACAGCCGTAACTGCTCATTATTCTATTCCTACTGGTTGTTCCTAAATAACTAGCTGACAGTTTCTAAGTATACTTTTGTTAGTGATGTATGCCTGAGTTTGCGTGATGAATATATAAACTAACTACAATGTGGCTGGCTATACACACAATACACCTTATACTACACTACTGGGCAACAGTAAAGAATAGACACCAATGTCAAATGACCTTGATTTGACCAATCAAATTCTGCCAGGTGAAAAATGGTACTTAATTTACAAAAAAGTGTATCTACAATATGATATGTAATAAAAATGAATCATATAGGGTGATATATCTCTAATATGCTGCAAACACTGGTGCCAGATTCTCATAGAAGTGGTTATAGACATATCAAACCAATGTATTCTCTATGTATCCAGCTGTAGCAGATACTGTTTGCATATACGCAATATATTACTAAGGGAGAGCTTTGATTTCGAGTAGAAAGTGTCTAAAAAATCACCAATTATGTACAACTTACCAACTTATACACATTTCCTCATCTGAATGTATTACCATCAATAACCCGACAAAATACTTTTGCAGAGTCATTATCCCCCCCACACACACACCAAATATGCATTATTTATTCCACCTTAACAACACATTATCCACAAAGAAGTTAAAAACGAAATCTAAGAGACACTTTCCACGAAGATTATGACTAGCAGCCATTTGTAATGCTGAGCTATCTGATTGGTCAAATCAAGGTCACTTGATATTGCTGTATATTGTTTACTCTTGCCCACTACTACTACTGTGTATTTGACAGGTTGTGTGAATCTAGGTTATTGTGTTGATACGAGACACTACTATTTCATAGTCCTTGTGTGATCCTGTGTGAGAAAATGCATCTTAATTCAATAGCAAAACAACACATAAAAGGTCTTGTTTCTCAGTGCAAGCACCTTTACCTTGCCACCGAATTTTCAGTTGGTGAGTTCTAGGTTCAAATTTTGTTTCACTTAGTTAAATTCAAGTGACTGGGTAGTAACACTACCCGTTACAAGTGGGACCATAGCCTACTATTATTCCCTTGGGTTTCAAGTGAAAAGTAGGACTTCCGCAGCATATCTCCACATCTTCAACCTGTTCTCTGAAGTCCTATTCAGCTGGCTCCACGATCGCCCTTAGGCTCTCATTTCCTCTTCACACGATGTCCTTCATGCCACCCTCACACCCACTCTCAACTCGTTGTTTCCTATTCGAGTTCCACTCGAGGGCCAACCAACTCACTCGGTGGCACTCAACGGTCTTCTCAGCCTTTTTTTCCATCTATCTCCATTTTCTTTGACATATTGAATCATAGGTTCATAGTCTAGTACATGAATAATCTGATCTGCCTAACTGAGTCCCCATGAGTTAATTTGACTTTGTTAGCAATACTGTCCCCTAAAGAAGGTGTTATTTCGGGCATTTGAATGGGTACATTTTGTTTACGGGATTTCATCATGAAATGACACCGGTTAGAAAAACACTGGAAGACCTGGGAGTATTAGACAGCTGTTTCGTCATAATGTTCGGGACTTCTCATTAGTACGCACCCACTGAAGTTTGAATCCAGGACCTTCTCGTTACAAGGCGAGCTAGTAAATCATTAGGCCACTGGGGCTCGATCCAGTAGTTTATGAATTCCAGCTTCTGCCAATTCACGATATGGCGCGACCACTAGTGAATGTCATCGGCAAGTATATGTCCTCACGGTCGGCCTACCATACCCCACTGGTCACGACATTTTGTTTCCATATGTTTTGACTTTCCATGGAATTCTCATGCGAGAATACATATTTGGTATTCCGTTACAAAAGAACTATAAATGAAAACCTATCTGTGGAAACATTGCGAATATTGTCTGCTTTTGTGCGAAGCAGTAATAATATGTGCGTAAAACTTGGGCACTGTGGTAGTAAGTAATTCCATTTTAGTTTGTTTATTAGATGTATCATACAGTGAGTGAAACAGTATTATTTACTGGATGACATAGTTTCGAACAAAATTTACTGTGGTTCATAATCATATCATCAATTATAATCACACGACTTTGAAACCTGAGTTTTATAGTTTTCTTTGTCTTCTCCTATTTGTCGTCGTAGGGGTAGTAGAATTTTCCAGATATCCGAATGGACAGGTGTTGAATCATTCCTGTTACATGTATTAGCAGTTGATTCGATAAACAAAGCTTCTCTTATCAATCTCTCCCTCCAGCCTGTGACATTAGATTTTAAAACTATCCTCCAATCCCATCCATCCTATTGTATGGTTGTGTGTGATTGCATGTAATGCTATGACTGAACTATTGTCCCGGATATCTCACTACCCCTACGACGACAAATAGGAGAAGACAAAGAAAACTATAAACCTCAAGTTTCAAAGTCGTGTGATTATAATTAATGAAATGATGATTATGAACAATAGATTTTGTTCGAAACTGTGTTATCGAGTAAATAACACTGTTTCATCACTGTGTGATACACCTAATATGCAAAGAAGTAAATTAGTATTACTAATAAGATTACAAATTAATAAAAGACCTTTTCGTTGAAAATATTTTACCAATTCAGGGTATACTCAAGCACTACAACGGCAACATTATTTTATAAACCAACCAGGTGGAATACTTTTTTTTATCATAGTTTCCATAATTTAAGCACCAGATTATTGGAAAACCATCAAAAGTCAGATCATTGGTTATGTTAATCTCTTTTTTTTCTTCTTTTTATTGTTTCTAATACTTGCATAACTTTGAATCGGTCTTTTTTTTATTTATCACTCATATTTTCCAGTTCTTTATGGTTTGTAATGGAACCGATTATGTCGCATGGTGAAAATTTTAGTTTTTTACGAAAAATTATTGAAAAAATTAAATATGCACGAGATGCTCTTAATCCTGATGATGCTTTTGTTAACGAGGTAATTTCTTCTTTTTTTTCTGTTTCCTCTTCTACTACTTCCTTTTTGATATTCACAATATTCTATAAACGTTTTGTAATTGCAGCTTACTGTAAAATGCACTAGTTGACATAAAAAAAAGGGAAAGCATTCCACAAAGCGTTACGCCTTTTGGCGATATCATTCTAAAGCTATAACAATCGCATATATGATTAATGAGTTACCATAGCAACAAAAGGGATGTTTCCAAAGTCGTATCATTAGAATTGTAAATACCTCTTAATGTTTATTTAATAAAGAAACCATTGATTGGGTAGAAACTGAAATAAAACTATTCAAGTATTGGTTCGTAGGGATTTGGTTGATTGCTTACAGGATGTCATCATCAGTTGACACTGGTTAGAGAACCATTGGGAAACCTGAGAGTACTGGACAGCCTTTTCGTCTATAGTTTGGTACTGTTCAGCAGTACGCACCCACCACCAGAGTTCGAACAAACGACCTTCTGGTTACAAGACGAGCTCGTAGACCATCAGGCCACGAGGACCCGATCCAATGGCCCATGAATTCTAACTTCTGCCAATTCAGGATATAGCGTAACCGCTAGCCCAATGTCTACGGCGAGTATTTGTCCTCACACCCGACCTGCTGCACCCTACTGGTCATGACTTCCCACTAGAACCCCAGATAACTACCTAGCTGAATAGGGCCAGTTGCCAGTGAGCATCTCATTGATATTCAAGTATTGGTTTGTAGGGATTTGGTTGATTGGATGGAGGATTTCATCATGAGCTGACATTGTAAATGAAACTAAGTAAGTAAATTCAGTGATGTAGGCATAACTAGCGGGATTGAATAGAGTTCAAATAAAATTGAAAGTGGCTCAAGTTAAGATCAGTGCGTTAAAGAGCAAAAATGTAATAGTCATAGGCGGTGAGAGAAAAAACGAAGAATAAATAAAGCTCTATTGATAATAATAAGCATATAAGTCTAATATATGACCATTGGAATATGTGGATTTTTTAAATGGTAAAATGAACTACTACTCCACTTTTTTTTCCAAGAGTCTACATTGGAAATTCAGTGAGTATTGTGCGTCATAGCTTAGTGTAACCTTATAATAAAAAGCCCCTACTGTTTTACTGTTTCCGATACTGTCAATTTCGTGTTACTTACTACATGCAAAATCTTATTGGCTGTTTTATTTTCTATACAGAAATTAAGTTCTCTTGGAATTTTCTGTCCGTCCGTGACACTCTGTTTACAAGTTCACTACGATGGTGATCAATGAAATCCCTGAACGAACTCAGCAGGTCTCACTTTAAACCACTAGATAAAATAGCTCTCTATGTATGCTACTTTGACTATCATGCCTCCATTAAATAGGACATTAACATTCTAATGTAGTATTAACTAAGCGTTTAACGTATGCGTTAGACATTTATTGGCTATTCACCACAGCTGAGCAGTTGTATGCAATTAATTTAGCCGGAGTAGAGTAGAATACCTACTTATTAGTGTAAAGTGTTGTTAAGTTGTGATACTATGCGGGGGTGGGAGGGCTATGTGTTGTATGAAGGCTCATTTTCGGAGGATGTGGAATCTATTTTAACTGTTTTGTAGCTTCTTGACTGAATGAAAGAAACGGGTGGTTCGTCCATAACGTGGAAAGAATTACAATAGTTGTTGAACAACATTTATTATTGCCTAATAATCACTAGAATGGGATTCAAAAGCTCACGTGACTAAGTGATTCAGGACTTTGTCAAATATATGGTTCAGCATCAAAATACGTTGTGATATTGCTGGTGTTTTCGTGTCAGCCGTATAATTATTAGAAACTAACAAAGTGGTGAATAGTTCTTTAACTTGATTAGATACGAATAATTATGTTTTGATGTGGTTGTGTTCTTTGAGCTGGATAGTTAATTTGCGAAGTTTTCATCACCCTACTAGGCGTCATCTTCAGCGCATACTTCAATTCGAGGAATTGAGCTTTTAGATTTCTCCACCAGTTTATTAATCATCTCTCCTGGTGACCTTGGACGTCGTTGGTTGTTTTTGTGTGTTTTCACACCTTCAGTTGACAGCAATCAGTTCCAATACAAGTAACCTAGATGGTGTGAAAACACAGAAAAACAATCAACCACGTCCAAGTTCACCAGGAGAGATGATTAATAAACTAACTGGTGGATAAATCTAAAGACTCACTTCCTCGAATTGAATTATGCGCTGAAGATGTCACCTAGTACAGCGATGAAAGCTTCGCAAATTAACTATCCAACTCAGAGAACACAACCAAATCAAAATCATCCACCTGAGCTACAAATCTTCTCTATCGTATCTGAATAATTATGTGCTCATTCTCTCTCACTCGTTACTTGGTATCCATTTTCTTACTTTTAAGTGACAATAATAATAATAGTGAAATTGGCAAAAATGTTCACCTCGTCGTCGCTGATTTCTAATGGCTGAATTAAAATATCACTAAGGAGACTTTTTTTTAGTTTATCTATGTGAGATTACCTACTGTTATTCAAGTGATACAAATTGCGGTACCTTATCAGCATGAGATTTAAAACATAATGTGATGCTGTTCGGTGAAGAAAATGTCAATCACCAACCATTCGTGATGAATACGCTTTATCTAACGGGAATGAATAATAGATGACAGCTTTTTTGAATCATATATTGGGAATTTTTTCACATGTACACACTCATATAAACATTGGAGTGAATCCAGAAGGCATATCTATTCGAATTCACACTAAATATAAAAAGTTAGCGAATAGGCAATAACTTCCTGAAATCTGACACATTTTTTTGGGGTTCCTAACAAAGCCTAAAATTTTCTATAGTTCGCTTTGTAAGGGTTAGTTATGTTTTTACGAGTTAATCACGGATTAATATCATTTAGATTACCATCGAAAACCAGGGAGTACTGGACAGCTGTTTCATCCTAGTTTGGAAATCATCGGCACTACGCACCCACTGGGATTCGAACCCAGGACTCAGGATAGAAAATTAATCTTATGCTCGCTAGTGACTTGCTACAGGATGGAGTTTTCTGGAGTTCTAGTGAGAAGTCGTGACTAGTGAGGTCCATCCAGATGTCATGTGTGGGGATGGATGTCCCACCGACGACAATGGTTGGGGTCGCGCTAAATCACGAATTGGTAGAAGTTAGAATTCATGGGCTGGCCATTGAATCGGGTCCCAGTGGCTGAATGGTATACGAGCTTGCCTTGTAACCGGAAGGTCCTGGGTACGATTCCCAGTGGGTGCGTACTTTTGATGATTCCCAAAAAACTAGGATGAAACAGCTGTCCAGTACTCCCTGCTTGTCTTCACTGGTTCTCTAATTGATATCAATCCATGATCAACTCGTAAAAAGTCTAAAATATCCATCTAAGTGAATATCTCAGTGGATTTTATTAGGTTTTTAATACTTAGTATCTCAATGAGAAGTGCCTCGGTGCTACAAGGTTAGGCGTTTGGATGGCTAACAACGATAGGTGATACGTCTCTCCAGCCTCCACTACGTGTCACGTTGCTAAAAACGCCTTATGAAGATATTTTAAACTTAGTTGGGGAAATCTCTTGTGATTTTCAGATCATTTCAAAGAATTTTAAAGATTTATGTTATCTTACCAATCATCATGATTTGGATGACTATCTGGCAGTGATTAGACTGATAATAAACTATCCCTTTGGGAAATACTCTTTTGTTATGTTGATTTTGATGAAACGATCCAAATTCTTCGTAAAAAATTTTGGAGAACACGTATCAGTATTCAGTATCCTCAATAGATGTGTTTAATTGTGTCCAAGCATCAGCGTGATGACTTCCTTACTTATACTGGTAAAGTCAACCGTGCTCCATTGAATGCTCCCACATTAATTCGTGGGGGAGGTTTCATAGATGCAGAGTATCTAGACCTATAAATATCTTCCAGTGGTTCCTACCTTCGATTGAAAATCTATTAAAAAAGGGAGGTGTTAGGACGGAAAACCTATCTTAGTTAACTGTTCTAATATTAAGATTTTCGCCAACCACACACACATACACAGTCCGGGGTTTCGTTTCCGGTCGACTTACTCCTAAACCTCACTTACTTTACTGACCAGCAGTAATCCAGGAAAAGTGGGGAACTTGAACGTGAGGCTAGAAATCTCATCCCATAATAATAAAAGCGACACCGCTACTTCAGCCTAAGAGATAAAGCTTTCTATTTTATGTATGAACCATAAGTTGAGTTCTACGCTGTTAATTTTTGGACACACTGTTCATTGTTTCAAATATTATTTAATTTCTTTTTAAATGTTCAATAACTGATCATTGTTCATTTTCTTTTTTTTTAACAAACTTATTCAATAGAAATTGTACACTGTATGCGATATTTGTTTGGGTCTATTGCTTTCTCGTTGTACTAATCCTACAAGTAAAGAATATCCAGTTGATGTAAAACTACCCAAAACTCTTTTCACATCTACACCAATCGATTTTCGAAATCCTGATTTCAAACAATTAATGAATATGGTTGTTGAAAGTGGAACGCAAGCGAGTGAAGATACCTTATTGAGTGAATCCATGGAGGCTATTGTCCAAAATAAAACAAAACCAATTTTACAGTTTACACCGAATAAGCATACAAAAGAATTTAAAGATGGATTAATTCCTCTTGAACTTTTAAAGATGAAAAACGCTGCTATTCCAAAGACAAAGTATGCTCTAAAATATTTTACAATATTTAGTTTGTTAATAATTTTACAGAGTGTGTTAAATTATTTCTCAGCATGGGCTCTACACTAGTATATAATGCCGAGAAAATATATTGCACTGATTAAGGCACTCTACTCGTAATCATGCCATCAGCCAGGTGAGGGCTTACGGCAAGTTGTCATCTGAACTGGTGACGACTAGTGGTGTCCGTCAAGGATGCCCATTATCCCCTTTTCTATTCAACTTCATCATAGATGTGTTAATCGACTTAACCCTAAGTGACTTCAGCGACTCAGGAATTAACTCGATACCAGGGAATAGTCTCGTTGACTTGGAATATGCAGACGATATAGTCCTTCTAGGCGAAGACGCTGACAAAATGCAGAAACTTCTAAACACCTTGAGCCGCAATCTACGAATGTTTGGCATGCGATTCGCCCCCGCCAAATGTAAGATGATGTTACAGGACTGGACTACATCGACGCCTAGTTTAAAAATAGGAAGTGAAGTGGTAGAGCACGTTGACCGCTTCACTTATTTGGGAAGTACCATCAGCCCCGACGGGTTGATCTCTGACGAAATCTCAGCACGAATACAGGGGGCTCGTTTCGCATTTGCCAGTTTACGCCAACTCTGGCGTAGACGAAATGATCGACTATCGACCAAACGGCGGGTGTACTGCTCATCAATCCGCTCCGTCCTCCTTTATGGATGGCTGTGAGACCTGGCCACTGAGAGTGGAAGACATGAAAAGATTAGCTGTCTTTGATCATAGGTGCCTGCGCTCCATTTCCCGTGTAAAGTGGCATAATAAGGTGAGCAACATTGAAGTTAGGCGTAGAGTTCTAGGTAAACAGGGGAAATCAATCGACGAAGTCGTGAAGTTACAAAGACTGAGATGGTTAGGACATGTGTTACGTATGCCTAGTCATCGCCTCCCTCGACGAGCAATGTTAGTGGATATAGGGTCAGGCTGGAAAAAAGCTAGCGGCGGTCAAACAAAAACTTGGCACCAGTCAATGAAATCTACAACAGTTGGTCTAAGCCACGTAGGAAGGTGTAGACTTCCAGACTGGGGTCCTCGGGACGGTAAAAATCTATGGTTGGAAACAATTGGTGACATGGCTCAAAATCGTTCTCAGTGGCTGGCGTAAATGCATCCACTCCTTGTGACTTATGATCTCCAGTGAGACTGTTTTGTTCTTCGTTATTACTCCTTTGTCTCACACCTCTGCTCACTGTTTCTGTTATGCTTTTCTTGTACTTTCTTCTCTTGCTTCGCGTGCTACACGGAGTGTGGCGACTTGAACTGGTGCACATTTGTGCAAAGTTCTATGTCGAAAACAGACAGACAGACATATAATTTCTTACATCAAAATTATTGTACCAATCATGTGATTATTTCGGTCCATGAGTTATCAGTTTTAAATATGGAGGTGGGGGTGGGAGTGAAAATAAGAGATTCAAAGTCATCAAAAGATTTAACAATTAGATGTTAGAGACAAGTTATCTAAGTTTTGAAATTCAAGATCACTTAATTCGTAGGGGTCAGCAACAAGTTATCACATAATCAAGAAATTTGTAAAATAATGACTAAGTAGAGTGAGTCGGTGGCACAGCGGTAGAATGCTCGCCGATCACGCTATAGGTAGTTCGGTCCCCGGCAGACGCACTCGCTCACCTCGCTAAGCCAGTAATAAGACTGGTAAAGAGGGAAGGTTGGGCATGAAGCTAACAACCCCATCCTGTAAAATTAAACACCACTGCTACCGAAAATCCAAAGCTCTAGCTTGTTCCACTGGGAACGTGAAGGAATAAAAAAAGTAGTTATGTAAGATACACTAGCCATCTAGAATTCCAGTCATCATAAAAATTTTCAAAAACATAAAAAGATACTTAGATATTATGTAGTCGGCCAAGGCAAAGAAAGGGGTTGTATAAATTTCTTTAGGACACACGATTGGTGCAATTTTATATTAGAAAAAGAATATACATTAATATAGAGCCCATGATGAAGAACTAATTGTGAAAAGGAGTATATTTCCCCACTCAATTTATTTTTTCTAAATGTGTAGATGGGAATTTTTAAAGTATTAAGTTATGGTTATATAAAATTTCCTAAGGCGCATCACTAGGATGGCATCCATAATTTATATTGGTTGTCTGTCTGTCTGTCTGGATTCAACATAGAACTCGGCACCGAAGTGCAGCAGTTCGAGTTGCCACGTTCCAAACAGCCCACAGAGGTAGACAAGAAGATGAGTGAAGAGAATTAATAGAGTTTGACAAGTATAAGAGTGAAGCAGAATGGGTAATGGTGGAAAGGAATATGAAAGATTACAGAGACTGAATACATCTGCGCCACTGACAATGATTTTGAGCCATGTCACCTATTGTCTCCAACCATTGATTCCTAGAGTCTGTCCCGAGGGCCCCAACCCGGGAGTCTGCATCTCCCTACCTGACTCAGTTTAACTGTCAAGGATTTTATGGATTGAGGAGGCCATGTTTTTGTTTGGCCACCACTGGCTCTTTTCCAACCTGAACCTATATCAGCTAGCAAAGCCCGTCGGGGGAGGCGGTGATTAGGCATGCGCAGCACGTGACCTAGCCATCTTAGTCTATGTAATTTTATAGCCTCGTCGATTGATTTTCCCTCTTTGCCCAACACTCTACGCCTAACATCAACATTACTTATCTTGTGAAACCACCTAACGTGAGACAGAGATCGCAGACATCTATGATCGAAAGCAGTCAACCTTTTCATGTCTTCAACGTGTATTGGCCATGTTTCAGAGCCATAGAGAAGGACGGAGCGAACTGCTGAGCAGTACACACGTCCCTTGGTTGATAACCGGATGTCACGCCTACGCCAGAGATGGTGTAAGTCAGCGAAAGCAGCTCGAGCTTTTCGGATCCGTGCTGAGATTTCATCGCCAATCAATCCGTTGGTGCTAATACAACTTCCCAAGTAGGTGAAGTGGTCAACATGTTCTACCACTTCCCTCCCTATCACTAAGTTAGGGGTTGACGTGGTCCAGTCCTGTAGCAGCATCTTACATTTTGTAGGGGCGAATCGCATGCCAAACATACGAAGATTGCTGCTCAAGGTGTTCAGACGACTCTGCATTTTGTCAGCATCTTCCCCTAACAGGACTATGTCATCTGCATATTCTAAGTCCATAAGACTATTCCCTGGTAACAAGTCGATTCGTAAGTCGTTACGTTCAGTTAAGGATACTTCCATCAGGATATCTATGATGAAGTTAAACAGAAATGGGGAAAGTGATGAATGTGATTTACGAATATTAATTTTATTTATTATATAAGAAGGTGGATTAGATGGAAAAGCTGCAGCTTTCGATCATTCTTGTCTGTATAGTACTACTACTACTACTCGCATTGTATTGCTTGCTACTGGACGAAAAATGTGAGATATGATGAGTGTCTAGACAGAAGCGTAAGATTAGAATCAACCAAGATTGATAGAGATGATGGATTAGGCATACGCTGAGGAGGCTGTCGAATGACATCGTGCGCCAGGCCCTTGATTAGAATTCCAATGCGAAGTGACGAGTGGGTCGTCCAAGGGTGACACTGAGGAGATCGTGCGAGGAGGAGATGAGAGATTGTAGGCAATCGTGGACCCAGCTGAAGACGACATAAGGAAATAGAAGTGGACTTGTGTTTTTGAAGCCACATGTTCCACTCGGAACCCAAGGGAATAATATAATGATAATAGTAGTAATAAGATGGTGTCATACCAAGCAAATGCATACCCTGATTATAAACGTTCTACAATTACTGCCCTATGATGACATCGTTAATATAAGTTACGTAGGTTGTTTGAGTGACAGACACGGGTCAACGTATTACATTATGCATCAAAACGCTATAAGTTATAGAGAACGAAACACAGACACAGCTGTGAGGTGAGATTCAAATGATTGAAGTCCAATGGAAGTGTATTCGATTTTGAAGAGGGGATACAAATTGGATGCATTGGTGCGAATGTAGATGACTTCGATTTCGGCTGATTCCTTGAGGCTCAAGAAATGCATGTTTAAACTCTTAGTATTGTGGCAAGTGTTGTCGGCACTCTCCAAGTTTATCAGGTTAAATAAACCATAGTTATACTGTACTACCACTTTGTCCTTCATTTCTCTACTAATAGATTCCAATGTACACAGAAATCATGAGAATGATTAACAAAAAAACTTACCTAGTGATTAAATGTTGGTTAGGTGACATGGCTGAAGCATATAACTTTATGACAGGTTTTCGACTCAGCATGAAATAGGTAAGAAAGATTATGCAATGAATTGACTGAATCTCAGCTTAGTAAACCTAAAAGTTGTTTTGCGAATATGGCAAATAGTATTTTGTAGTTATTAACTGATTTAGAAATTTATGTCCTTATACACTGAGGTTATTTTTTTCGTAACTGTGTCATAAAATTAGTTCAGCTGCAAATAATGATCTTGATTGTTTATTATTTGAGATATTGAACAGCTAAAAAGACTTCAATACACTACTGAATTCTTGAGCATTAATAACCTTACCTTATATACATGCATTCACCAATATTGCCGCTCTTTTACTTTTTGTTTTTTTAAAAAATCCAGAAAAACTAAACCGGCCAGCAAAAATGAAGAGTCAAAGGCGAAATTTGAAACCAAATCCAAAAAAGATAACAATGAGCCATCACGACCAGAAGAAAAGGGTCCAGTTGCGGACACAGTGACAGATGACGACAATGAGCCACATAAGGAAGTAAATACCATACATTGTATTGCGTCCACTAGTCGTGTCTCACCTAAAAGCACTATTGTAGATGTTACCAATACTGATATTAATGTGTGCATTGTAGAAACACGTTCAACTCGCAGTTCTAGTAACCAAAATAAGCGTAAGAATACATCTCCACCAGGAATTGTTAAACGCCAACGCGTTAATCCATCATCGAATTTAACTTCACACCTTCATCAAAGCACACTTGATCGTGTTGTACAGACCAACAAAACTTCCCAGAAAAATATCTCGTTAACGCCGGATAGCGTCAATCAGCAGGTGTCAAGTATCTCTCCGCGTAAAAGTCCCAAACATCTCACTAAACCTGCTCCAGAAGCGCATTCTAAAAAGTCAAGTAAACCTCCTCAGTCGTCAACAAACAGTTGCTCCAATAATTCTAAAAATACTAAACAGGAAAGCAATCTTTGTCCAACACCAGCTTCAAATGATTGGGGGACATTGTTGCGATCTAAAAGTAACAAAAATAGTGAAAAAACTCAAGGGCTCATCGATGTTTCGAAAAAGTCTCTACAGAATGCCAACAAAACACTATCGAGAACTAATTACAGAGTCTCGACATCACTTAGAACTGTTGATAATTCTAATGGATCCAACAATATTTCAGAAAGACCATCTAGATTAAGCGCAATTGTTGCCAAGCAAAAATTGTTATCACCTATATCCGTATTTAGTTCAACGTCAACATCAAACCAATCAACTCCAAAAAGAAGGTAAGTTCATTCATTCGATCTGATATGTTATTTTAAAGAAACTTACTATTTGAACTGTGATACACGTTAATATTTGTTCGTCACCTTTTTTTACGGAAACCAACGAGTAGAGAATCACTTGATATTAAACCTGAGTAGCGTTTCAAATGTACCAATCAAATCAAATGTCTCAAGTATTAGATTGCAGTGATTTGATTGGTTTTGAGGATTTCATCATGAACTGATATCTGTTACAGGACCATTGGAAAACATGGGAGTACTGGACCAGCTGTTTCATCCTAGTTTGGGGGGTACAGCAGGTTAGGTGTGAGGACAAATACTCTCCGATGACATTCACTAGTCGTCGCACCGTATCGTGAATTGGCGGAAGTTGCGATTCATGAACTGTTGGGTCGGGGGCCCCAGTGGCTCACCTTGTGACCAGAAGGTCCTAGGTTTGAATCCTGGTGGTGGGTGCGTACTGATGAAGAGTCCCAAACACTATGACGAAATAGCTGTCTAGTACTCCCAGGTTTTCCAATGGTACTCTAACTGATGTCAGCTCATGATAAAATCCTGCAACAAAATGTTTCTTGATGAGCGAATTAGCGACGTATGTACATTCTACTAAACTTTAAAGCATTATGAGGGTCTTTGTCGTTATTCTTTGAGACACAACTTATAACAAAAATGAGAATCCCGTTGTACAGTTTGCCGTCAAAATAATTGTGTCGTTTTTTCGCCGTAAACGGAGAGTGTGTTGAATTACATGACGGTTGTAGTTAGTAGGGATATTGTAGGGCTATAACAACTGACTACCAATTCCAGTCGCTTTTGCTACGACTTTTTGGTTAGTGTTTAAAATACTTCCAGTCATTTCTAATTTTAGGAAACAAGTTGTATGCTTATTTCTAGTGAAATATCCGATTGACTGTTTTCTCTTTCTGTATGATAACACATAATCTTTGGCTTTTACTTAAACGTGAAGTTCAAAATGAGACACTCCTTCTCTTGTTTTGTTTTTCTGCAGATAATGATAATGCTTTGAATTATCCTTGGCATGTGGAATTCATATATATGTGCACACTTGTCAAAACACACCTGTTAATATCAACGCTGCTACTTTGTTCTTTTGATATGATTTTTATTAATCGTAACTGTATTTATTTGTACTGACCATTATTATCTCCCAGATTATACTGAGACGTTTATTATATCTTCTCATTGAGCATTTATTCAATATTTTATTCCCAGTTAGGTTCTATCAATGGAATTTCCCCAAAAAATAACTGAGGATTCTTTTTGTACATTTTAAGTAATATCATTTCAAGTTTTAAATGCTTCTTTTAAATAAAAGAACTATAAATACTACTTTTCACTGAGTTTATTGTGATATCATTCAAAAATGAGATATTTAATGAACAATTTGTACAGCTATTGTTTAGAAAGCATCATTTGAAGATGGAAGTGAGTTCTTAGTATGCTCTGCTAAGTAGCCTAGCTTCACAATCTGCTAATGCCCATTGGTGGTCAACTACTTCTAGTGCTTCCCATTCTGCTTTGAACGCTTTTTGCATATCTTGTGGAGCCTGTGGTGTAGGTATTTGATTATCAGGTAAAATCATAGGATGATCAGCTGCATTGTCTGAACCAAGAACGAGCCCATACATGCTTCTGAGGCCGAATATATTGAGAAAATACCATGATGCAGAGCTGACCCTGAGAAAAGTTGTATTTATTCAACTGGAACCTTACCATGAAGCATCTAAAGATGTAAGAGATTCACAGCCTCTTTGGAGCATTGGTTTAAATCTATAGGTAAGTGGAAACGGGACTTTGGTAGTAAGGAATCCTGAGAAGGCCCAGTTTATCCAGCTACCGATAACAATCATCGGGACCATATTAAGCGCATTGCTTCTAAGCATTTCAGTTGCCATCGAAGGGTCTGCGGGATAATATTAAGAAAACAGAATATGGGACTTACCGGCCATCGGGTTTGTCATGGTGCTCTCTCGTTTTTGCGTTTTAAAAAAGCCGTGTTCCTTATCATTAAAGAAATACTTCCGCATTTTGAAGGCCTATGAAATGTATATGGCACTTAGTAGTTTTACCTTGGCTGGTAGATACCGTCCGTTTTCGCGTAAAAGTCTGCTGCGAATTAAAGCATGACTACAAGTTCAACTTGATAAATATAAGGATATTACCTATCACCAATATTCTCGAGTTCACCTTTCTTTTCACTAGCGAAGATGATCGTTATGTAGTGGCGCAGTACTCCAAACAAAAAAGTGATAATTACGAGCGGCAAGAATACCCAGGAACGAATAGATGGATCCAAGAATAGTTCGGCCATCTAGAATGTTTTTAACTGTTGTAATATGCGTGTCTCTTCTTTGAAAGGAACCAGTTAATGGACAATAGAACTTTATGTGGAAGGATGCCAGTCAGACTATTGGGTTGGTAATAATTACTTAATATATGAACAGAAAGTTGGGTGGTTGACGTTGTACCTTTTCTAGTTATTCATATCTTTTGGCGTTAACTTGAAGAACTAGTGATCAAATAAAGTGTATTTAATCAACAGTAACAATTTATTTCATAAATCTCCGACATCGGATATAGATACCATCTCAGACTTAATCCAAAATATCTTTTTCACGTGTTTAAATTGGGCTAAGGTTCTTTCATGAGAGTGGCTTTCTAACTAGTGTAAAGCAGGAGGGTGTTTTGTTACTTCTTTTTGATACACCTTTTACTAATGGTGGATCAAAACTAAAAGGTATAAAATCTTAGTGAATAATCCAAAGTGTTAAATAGGAGGAGATATTCGAAACTTTTGTCACTGTTCAGTCATATTAATGACGTCTGGGAACGAAATTAATGCGAATATCCTAGTTAGGAAATCCCTTGCAAATGTGATGCAGAGACTATCCTTCCCATAGTTGATAGTGAAGTAGCATAGGCTGTAACTGGATCGACTACAATTACCTTTTCCGAGGAGAGCCGAACACTCAGTTTACCCTACCTTCTCGTAAGTTGACTTCATTAGACGATGGAGCAACATTTCTAGGCACAGAGAAAATAACGCTGTAAACCAGATTTCTGTGTGCTTCGGTGGCCCAGCGTTTAGGACGCTCGCCGACCATGCACATGGTCCGAGGTTCGATCCCCGCCCGACGAACTCCCAAACCTCGCTAAACCAGAAATAATGCTGGTAAAGAGGAAAGGTTGAGCATGAGGCTAGCAGCCCTATCCTGTAAAAATAAACACTGCTACAGAAACTTCAAGCCTCTAGCTTAAAGCCGTATTTTCCACTGGGAACGTGAAGGTAAAAAAAAAGCAGATTTTTAATCATTTCATGAGATGTTTCAGACGCAGTTAAATAGCTTAACAACATACTATCTGCCCAAAAAGCCACCTCACTGATTTTTTTGGGTTTCAGCCTGATTTCACACCGTAGGTTTTGGTACAGGTATGGAATTTTCAGTATGTGATATCGGTAGCCCAAATTTTGCAGGCCGACCATAGATATCAGGTGTGCGTCGGTAGGGGATCGAACCCCGGCGAGATTCCTAACCACTGTGCTACCGACGCAGAAAGAACCTTGGAGTACTGGACTGCTGTTTCGTTCTAGTTCGGGACTCTTCATCAGTACGCACCCACCGGGATTCGAACCCAGGACCTTCTGGTTACAAGGCGAGCTCGTATACCATTAATCCAATGATCATAGACTCTTTAACTACCAATGTCGATCGATTCGTCTAAAAGTAGTAGAAATCATCTAAACTCTTCAAAGCTGCGACCGGCATTGATATTTCCTACACGCCTTACAGTTTCAGTCAATGTTTGTTTATATTTCCAGCAGTGTCAAGAGGTATTTTTCAAATTCGCTGAGTTTCAATGCAATTGTAAATGCATCCAGATAATTCAAATCAGTGAATAAGGACGAGTACTATTATAGACCATAATTCTTGGAGGTATTTATGTTAACGGTAGGTATTTGCCATGTTATCTATTTAAGATGAACAGGGAAGAGACCAGATAGCACAACAGTAATGTACGTATCAAAGGTTGGTGTTAACCGATACACTTTCGAAAATTCTAGCTTAACATATTTCCTATGTTAAGTACCAGTATTTGCATAGCTCAGACTACTGATTAAATACTTGGTGAGTTCATATCAGGTCAGTCTGGATTTTCCCAAGTTTATTCCATTCCACTTCTTCTGTAAGCAATGCGTTACAGATGATAGTGGTGAAGTGCACAATATGAAATAACAAGCTCATAATCTTGATCATTATGTACGAGACTACATCTTTAAAGTTAGTAATATGGCTCACGCTATCGAATCTTTGCAGTGAATTTGAAACGACATTCTATTTCCCTAATCTTAACTCAGAGCATTCCTGGTTCTGATGGTCACTCGAATCGCTGCTGTATGGTTTGTACCTATAGTGTAACGTCACATATTGGTGTTAGATTTTGGTTTGGTCATCTTGCTTCTTTTTCAAAGTAACAATATTTCCACTGATATAAAACTTTAAGGTAAGTTGGTACAGATGGGTAGTAAGTGACTAGCTACCTCAATCAGTGGATAATGTCAACTTCAGCTACTGGGTTCCCTATGTTATATAAGCTACTAGACTGCTTAGTGATAATAATATGGAAAACAGAGCAATCAAATTCTTACGGGTTTTTTTTAACTCAATTAGAATGATTACAGGTTTTAGAGACTACCTTGATTATCTCGATTATTTATTTAGCTATTAAAATAATATTTCTCCTCTTTGTGATAAAAAAAGGAAAGTCAGTAATTCAGACTAGTCAGGGATGTCTGATTTTCTAAGCTCAACTCAAACCATAATCCATTTACCCGCCCTACTGTTTTAGACCATAAAGTCTCAATCCATCTCCTTGTTTAAAATAACCAGTTTTCAAACGCTGAAGGTTTGATAGTAATGACTCACTATATTGCAGATGGATGGATGTATGGAGTCCACTATGTGTCAGTCGGTTCGCTTACGAGTGATCTGGTAGACCCATTTTCTGCCAATCTTACTGATCCATTATATTCTAAAGTCAGCTTACCTGATAAATTTGACTAGTCGTTAGGGATAAGCTATTACAATTTTTATTGCTTCCTCTTACACTGACAATCACTGTTTACTACTGAGTGAATGTTGAAAACAGTAACTAGTGAAAGATAGTTTTTTCTAGACGTGTAACTTATTGTGCCCTCAACCCATCAACTAAGCACTTTTGCTAAAAGTGCAGTCTCAATATTTTAATCATAGTCGAGCACATAGAAAGTTGAACCCCAATACACGCACTGACTACCATAACGTAAAACGACAGAAAATCCTGTACTTGACACAGCCAACAACAGCTAATGGTAGCAGTACGGTTTATTCGGTTTTGGTGGTGACGATTTCATATATTAAGGTGAAATGCGTACATGAATAAAAACCGCCGTCAGTAGAACTTTTTTTCAGACACCCTATTAGAGGGTGAGATAATTACAAAGATATCATCTTCACGTCCAACGGCTATCCATTGACCATTCATTGGGCGAAACCATAGTCAACAAAAACAAATGTTAAAGTTCTAAGTAAAATTACATAAGATATAATAGCCTAAAACAGTGATGCCCTCACATTTAACTCCCAACTCAAAATTCCGAGGTGGTGCCACTTCGACCTCAAATTGACTAACCCAGTCTAAATCTTAAGGAGTTCCTCATTCCCGTTTAAAAATTAAACTGCAAATATGAACGCTAAATATTTACTAACTGCGATTAGCATGCAAAATAACTGGCGCAAAAATAATATAAAAGCTTAACACAAAACTTAATTTGACTGGAATGGGAAGACATTCGAAATATACGTCTTTGGGAGTACACATTAAGAAACAATTGACACCATCTGAATGCTAATCAGAATTTCTTGCATGATGATTCAAAAATGAGCAGAAGAGATCCTTAACCGGCATCAGAAAGACTACAGAAATTATACATCGTGGGATGTTGTATCCCATATGATTCCCCTTTCCCTC